ATCTTGCAATGTGACACCTACCCCGACCTCCACTTCTCCCTTCCCCCGTCCTACCGCCCAAACACCAACCTCCACAAGAAACCCAGCACAAACCACAAAACCAAAAACACCCCAATAATTATCCCCGCGAGCTTCAACACAGCAACCCGATCCCCCTGCCGCGCCATCCGCCCCATCCGTCCCATGCTTCCCCTCAGGCTCGTGCCCATGTTACTAAACACCTCATTGGTGTTGTCGAGCGTTTGCTGGTTCGAGGCCTGCGCGTAGATGTTGTCGGTGATGCCGCGGAGTTGGGATGTTTTGGCGTGGAGGGATGCGAGGAGGGTTTGGTTCTGTCTGTTGGGGGTGGGTTGACGTTAGTTGTGGTGGTGGTGGTGGGGCGTTGGAAAAGGGAGGGGGGGGTTGGCTAGGTCGGCCTCGCAACACCCGCAGGTGAGAAGGATTGAATAGGATGGCAGAAGGCAGACGGGTAAAAAGAAAAAGATAAACAGAGGCACATCAAGAAAAACGTACTCTTCTCTGGCATAAGCGTCCGTCATCTTGCCTCCTCACACTCCAGAATCCCTACCCCTAGCCCTGTTCCAAGCAGCCTTGTTCTCAACCACTCGTCTATCGAAGACGTGTCTACACTTCGCCCAAAACCCTCCCTGATCTGGCCCTATTCCAGGCGTAGACGCGTCCCTCCAACAGTCTTTGAGATGTTGGATACCGCTCTTATAGGGATCGCGGGATTTCTCACCCAGGTAGTGATCGTAGAGGTACCAGACTGACCAGGCGACTGTTAAGCTGAAAAGCAAGTCGAAGTGCGCGGGTTTGTGTGGAGGGGCAACAGGCGTTGAGGATTGTGGTGGCTGCTGTTTTGCGTTTGTGGCGGGTTTTGATGTTTTGCTGCGGGACTGGTACTTCAAGACTGGGGAACCGGTGGTTTGGCGTGAGACTCCACGGGGAATTGGAAAGACACGTCGCAGCATATGCGGTGCCTTTGGCTAGCCAAGGACAGCGGATGGATGGTGCCCCGTGCGGCGGGCAGGCAGGCAGTAACGTGAGGTTCGCTTCGCTTCAAGATGGGTCAATTGTGACGGATCGTGCGATCGCGACGATCGATGGAGTCGAGCCCGCTATGAGAATCAGTCGTATGTTAGACCAGGTGCAGTGTTGGATTGAGTTGAGCTAGATGAAGTGACGGCATATGAGACTCACACCGAAGTGCAAAGTACGGAGGAGGTCTGACGTCGGAAGCGCGGTCAAGCAGCCTTGGCGAAAGCCGGTTGACGAGATTGATTGCGAGCCCTCATCGTCGCCGGATGACGCGATCTCCTTCACCGGGCTACTAGAACCGGTATTTATACTCCAAATGGCAGATGAGACCTCACTGGCACGTCCTGTACATGAACAGCCATCGATCTATACGCATGGGACAAGCCGACAGTCCTTGGAGTCGCAGATATAGTTGAAAAGATGCAACTCAAATGGCTCATCCTTGCAGACTTGGAGCGAGGCCGCTGTATATACATCGTGATGGAACTGCTCTCTTCGCTCGCTCGGTTGCTTCGATCATTAACGTTCGTGTAAATATGTATGACACCGCATCGTTGTCCTCGTGCCCGTCCTGCCGCCCTTACCACACCAGCGCTCACCGTACCGCGGTCCCTCGATATGAGGATCTTCCAGTCCACCAGAATCAACATCCACTGTCCCTACTCTTCTCAAACCCATGTCCTGAATCGCTATGCTGGAAGAGAGAAGAAACTCAAGTCTCACATCCATCCGGTCTTCATCAAGCCGCCTCATTCTCAACCTGCTCGACGGTGATTCTGCCCACCGAATCATCACATCACCACATATCCCCGTCGTCATCATTTCCGCCTCTCGAAACCGCCTGCCTATTCGACGCGCCCTGATAGTATGGGTTACTGCCACTGGCATTGCTCATGTAGTTGCCATTCGGCTGATGGTGATGTTGATGACTCTGCTGGCTCCTTGGATCCACCCCGCGGTGTTGACCATTCGTGTCGTAGCCGTACTGTGAGCTATCGCCTTCGTATGCCTGTCCTGTCTGACTCGGCTGGTAGGCATACGCGTGTGGCTCTTGCTGCGGTTCCGGCTGCGATGAAGGCGTTGGCTGCGACTGAGCCTGAGGTTGGGATTGGGCTTGTTGGGCGTTTTGAGCCTGTGTGAAAATCAGTACAATATTCCTTGGCTGACGTTAGCGGACATCATGAACTCACCTGCTGGTACCGCTGGTACTGCGTGAACTCCTCTGGCTGACTACTGCTCTGACCCTGCTGGCTACCACTACCACCTGGGGTCCCACCACCTTGCTGCTCCTTCTGCCGTCTTTGCTGCTTCGCACTCGTCGGCAGATTCATCTGCGGATGCATCTGCTGCACCTTGGCCAGATAGCTATACATGAAATTGCTTAGCAGTACCTGACTGTACAGCGCCCTCCTCGGATTCGCCAACTTCATGTGCGCCATCCTGTAAATCGCACGCTCTTCCAGAATCGAGAATCTTGTCCAATTATAGTCGATATCCGGCTTGAGCTCTCGAATCGTAGGCTCAGGCGACAGTCGATCCTTATACTTGTTGCCGCCCTTTGTGGTTTCCTTCTCGGCCTTGCCTTTCTTGCCGAAGAGGGAGGAGAACAAGCCTTCCTTCTCCTTTTTGCCTTCGCCACTGGCTTTGCGGATCGATTCCTTCTTGCGCTCTTCGTCGAGTCGGAGACTTTCGCGGTCGATCACCAGGCTCTCGCGACCTTTGTTGTTGCCTTCGATGGAGGTTTGGAGAACGTCGAGTCGGGTGTTGTCGTGCGATTGGGGTGGTTTGACTATTTTGGCTTTGGGTTTGTCTACTTTCTCGTCCTTCCTCTCTTCCTTGCCCAGCAGCCAACCCCAGCTGGACTTTTTGGGCTCATCCTTTGCTCGATGGTCTGCTCGCTTGTCGACTGTCAGTGTTGGGATGTAAGAGAGGTCGGCTGTATTGGTGTTGTTGCCCGGCAGAGGCGAAGGCTGGTCTAAGCTTTGCGGCCCTTTCTGATATGTCTGTGACGGCTGTCGTTGCTGGAGTTGTGGTATCGCATTGACAGAAGATTGTTGTTTCGGAGGCATACCGGGACGTTGGTACGGCTGTTTCTGCGCATCCCGCGATGATGACCGCTCAGGATGCCGCATTGGCGGCTGTATAGGCGCTGGAGACGGTGCGGTCGACGGACGCTCTTCAGGCGCCGGTGTCTCGATGATCTGGGGAACAAGCCGCTGCTCTGGCGGCTCAGGCAATGGCTGCGTCATTCTTTCCGGCATACTTGCAGTACTATTGCGGTGCGATGACCCACCTAATATGCCGTCGAACGTCTGCCGGCCATCGTTAAGGCGCTCCTGAGAATGCTTTGCGAGGTTCGCAGGTCTTGAGAAGTTGTACACTCCGCCTTGCCGACTGCCTGCCGCAGGAGTGCTCTCAGTCCTGGGCGGAATTGACTCGCGTGACGACGGGTCCGTCAGTGTGAGGTTAAAATCGCTTGACGAAAAGGTAGGCATCTGAGGTACTTCAGGCGTAGCAGGCGTGATAGGTGTGTCACCGTGAGTTGCAACCCGGCGTGCTGCCCGCTGCGCGTAGGTCGACCGATCAGGACGGCCGCCTTTGACGCTCCCAGCTTTCCTGTATGTTGTCCTCGTTGAGCGTTTCAGCGTAGAACCAGGTATCGAGGGTAGAATAACATCCTCCTCTTGAGAATCCTGACCTGGGCTCTCCACGCTAGCCCTTCGATTCTCTCCCGAGACCAATGTCTCAAGTGCCAGCAACGTTGGGTCCGGACCACCACTCTGTCGGAGCGACCTCTTTCGTTCCAGTCTGTCTGCTCCATCTTGATAGCCGGCTGAGCTGTCTATCTGGCGGGACAGCATCGATTTTTTCCTTCGCAAGCCGCCGTTGTCTACGCCCAGTGATGAGGCAGAATTCGATCTTGATGTGCCTGGACTTGTGAACTGCGATAGTTCCCCTGACCGTCTCTTGATCTGCTCTGCCTTGCTGTCTAAGAAGCTCTTGAACTCTTTGGGTGCTAATTCTGGATGTAATCTTGCAGGAACCCAAAACAGCCGAGAGTCGTCGTCTTCACTTGCGTTTGAGGCCGGAGCACTCGGAAGTGCAGCAGGATTTAGATGTGGTAAATCAGGATCACCAGCTGCTCCTCCATCCATCGACAGCATAGACATACGTCGCAGAGCTTGCAGATTGCTGAGCTCCTGTGCCACAGCTGCCGGGCTGGACTCGTAGTCGGTATCATTGAGAGGAAAATGCGTGTTGGCGGTGTCTGACGGCGAGCGATCTCGGCCATGTGGAGGAGGCGAAGGTGTTCCTTGTCTGTCCCATGAAGCTTGTCTCAAAGGTTGCGGCCTCTGCGTATTCGGGCCCACGATCACCTTCCCGTTTGACAGTTGTCGTTCAGGCATGGCTTTCCGAGGTATTGAAGTTCTTCGGACGGGCTGGTCATTCAAGTGAAAGTCTTGCATTCGGCGCTCGATAGGTGAAGTCGGATTGCCCGAGGAGCCTTTTGAGCTGCGCTGACCATCGTGATCTTCATCGCCGTACATGTAGCCTATCGCTTCGGTTACGTGATGATCGTCATTGCTGATCGAGAGTTGCTGGAGGTGGCCTCGGCGGGAAGCAAAGCTCGCGGCATTGTCGCGAGGCCTGGTTGTAGTCTGTTGAGGCTCTTGTCAGTACGGCGTTCAATATGGACTTGAGGCATGGAACGCTGAGTGTGTGGTGGTTCATCTAAGCGATAGACGTCGCCTTGATCTTTCATCACACGAGCACAACCGCCCGAGGCGCAGAGCTCGCTACCGCTCCTGTCTGACCGTGACAACAGCTCTGCTACATCGTTTCTCGCTGTGGGTTGTCTGTCTTGTACGTACCTGCATTGAGCTCAACGCCTTGCCTTGCCAGTACTTCTGGTCCAGGAGACGCTGTGGGCCAGCACAGGAGTGCAGTCTAAAATCTCCGTGCGGCTACCATTCCCTTATCTTGCCATGCGAATGTATAAGGAACCGTATGTATTATCTCTCTGACGAATCGTGACCATCGGGCGGGCGTAGATGCCTCGTGCAGGAAGTCGTTCGCGGTAGGGGATGGGCGGCTGCACGCTAGGCCGGGCGGCGGTTCTAGTCGTCGAGTGTGTGTACGGAGCGGCTTATACTTTGGTGAGATTTACTTGACGTTGAAGTGAGGTATAGGACGACGCTTGTGGAAGAACTGTTGGCAACGTTGAAAGGCACAAGCAAGCGGTCTATGATGGTCGACTCGAATGCAAGAGGTGCAGTGATCACGGAGTAGGTACGCTAGCGGCCTTGTTCGCCGGACCACGAATCGCACAGCGCGTGGCTGCACGATAAGGCGGCAGTCCTCCGGAGCCCTTAGATTTCAGGATTTAGGAGCCCAACAGGTACGAACCAGGGGCGCGAGTACCGCCTAACTAGTACGCCTCCCGGGGCAGCAGCTTAGCTCACCCCGGTCAATTTCTTCTACCTGTGGCTTTCGTGATACCTGTGGCTGTGCTGCAGATCATTTTCCACATTTCATTTCGGCTCATCTCACCTCCTCTGCGTAACGCCACTTTCCTTGCCTCGCATTTTGTGCTACTCGGGCTGCGTCCAAGCATTTGGAGCCTGGCAGCTGCCAACTCTACGTCAAAGACATGCAGGTCGCCGACGAGGAAGGTATTCTTTGACAAGCTCGATCGCCCGGGTCGTGGTACTTCCGTCGGCGCCGGAGAGGACTTGCATTTGCATTTCCGGATTTCCATGCAGAGGCGTCCACTGCACGAGCTATCGCTCAAGTCGTACCTCGATGTCTACCACGTATGGCCTGTGCACTAACTCGACTGACCACCCGCTACGCTATTCTCATCCCCATGGGTTATCTTCCAGGCCGCCTCCAAACCCACCACCACTGGGCTTGCTTGTAGCTGGCGTCTGAGTAGCTGAAGCAGAAGTCCAACCCCCAAAGTCCTCGTCCGCCGTGACCGAAGGTTGCCGTGTAGGCTTGGCTGCTTGCGATATAGGCGCTCCCCACCCGCCTGTAATGTCATTCGGTGTTATGCGTGACGGCACCTTCCCGAGATCGACGGTGGGAGCAGCTGGCTTGGGTGGCACCGGCTCTGGCGCTCCCCACGGACTGCTATCCGCCGCAGCCAGTGAACCCCAGGGGTCCGAGAAGGCGTTGTTGCTTGTTGGCACTGCCGCTGGCTTGGGTGCAGGTGGCTGCGTCTTTGTTGGCTGAGACGAGAGATTGAAGGCCGAGCTGAAATCGTTGGATGTCTTTGTAATACTTGGCGAGGCGACTTTGGGTGCTGTGACCGGGGCAGGAGGAGCTGCAGACTGTGTAGTTGGCGCAGATGACCATCCTCCGAAGTCGTCTCCGCCAAACATGTCAGCAGGTATAGAGACAGGTTTCGCAGCAGGAACAGGCGCGGGTTTTGGTGCTGGAGGAGCAGCAGGTGTAGCATTCTGAGTGAACGAGAAGTTGAGGCTACTGTTCGCCTGAGGTACAGGGCCTGGTCGCGGCGCGGGAGGGCTCGTAGGAGTAGAGTCGAAGAAATTGCCACCACTCAATGGCGGCGGCGATGTCACCTGAGCTGCCGATGGCGTAGACTTGGCTGGTGCTGCTGATGGGAAGCTAAGTCCTGAGAAAGCCGACGACGCTGACTGCACAGGCGGCGACTTCACTGTTGGGCTTGGTGTGCTCGAGAAGTTGAGACCGCCGAAAGCGTCTGCCAGGCCTCCGAAGGCGTCCTTCTTGGCTGGTGCTGCGGAAGACACACCACCAAAGGATGGTTGCCGATCGTGACTGGGCTGTGAAGCGGCCTGCGGCTTTGGTGCTGCACTGTAAAGTGAAAGTATGGAGTTCTTGAGATCTCCTCGTGGATTGGATGCAGGCGCTGTTGGATTCGATGCAGCACTCGCTGGACGAGGGGCTCCCGCGCTGGGCGGCGCACCAAAGAAGTCGAGCCCAAGTAAAGAGTCTCCCTGCTTAGGGGCAGGTTTGGCAGCAGGTGGTGCCGTCCGCGCTGCAGGCTTGGACTGAGGGAGGTCTGCTGTGCTGGGTCTGGCAGGAGGTTCAGAGATATCGCCAAACAGATCGACCGCAGGCGCGGCAGCTCGTGGTGGGGGCGGCGCTCTTGCCGACGACTGTGGCTGCTGGCCTGTCCTTTGTGAAGCCGACCGCTCAAGTTTGGTCTTTTCCTGCACAATACTCAACGGCTCTTCATCATCAGCGCCCAACGTCGACGGATCTGGCATTGGTCCATCCATCACCCATCGTTTCGACTCGTACTTTGTGCGGATGAAGTTCTCTATCTTGGCTTCTGAAGGACTGTGGCCCTGTGCAAGTTTGGCTTCCCAATATTTGTTGGCTCGTGTATTGCCCCATTTCAGTATGCTCTGTAGCTGCTCATCCGTCCACGAATCAAGATCGACTGACTTGACTCTGCTGATATGCGTTCCCATGCCGCGATGAATGCCTGAACATCGGATGCAGACAAAGACACCTAGGTTCCAGCTCGCCCACCGAGGATGCTTGTTCCTTTTGCAATCGGCACATACTTTGTTGCCTTCGAGTTTCACGAGCGCTTTGAGGGTCTGAGTGTTTTGTGCCGCGCGGTCGTTGCCCGCAGGACGCCGAGACATGGTTGTGACGACGTAGATGGGCACGAGATGAGGTGACGAGTCGTACGTGTATTGGGGTAAAGTAGTGGGTGGGCAGGCGTATGGCTTTATTCTTAGACGCAATTCATCTACGACTCTGTCCTTTGCCTGACGAACAGAGGGAGATCAGCTGCAGGCAAAATAGTTCTGGTGAAAGGTAGTGGTACCGAGTGAAGGGTCGTAGGTAACTTCGAAGGCCGCCACAACTCCCGGCAGGCTCATCCCGCCGGAAGCCTTGGCACTGCCGAGCCAGATATCTCAGTGGCAGTCCCTGGACCTGTGCTACTACCTCTATCCTCGCGCCACATCTCGCATTCAACATACACTTAGAGCCTTGTGCCGATGTCAGCGCTTCTCACTACCAATGTGCATACACATATACTATGTCTAACTAGCTATGCGTACAAATAAATATATGCCCTGCAGAGGAATGCTGTGGACCCGTGCTCCTTACAGGGCAGAGTATATGCGTATAGGTATAGAACGATACTGAGCCATCTGCCGCGAGTTTGACCTTGCTGGTCCTCTCAGACAACAAAGTCCCATGTCGACAGTGAGCCGAATACATATTCATGCTTTCATTTCGACATGTGTTCCTCGCATATCGTTCCTTGTCAACCCACCCACTTGTGGGTCACTCTCGATCCCAGCAAATGACTCCTTTGTATGCTAATGCTGATGCTGTTGATGCTGATTATGATGATGCTGCTGCATCGTCCGAGTCCTTCAGAAATGGAGCAGCTTTTGTGAATACCGAGGAAAACCATGCTGCGCGGATGAACGAGTAACTGAATCCCGATGTCAAAAAGGTATCGCGCCTGTGAACGCTCAAAGCCGCTAAGTCGAAGTGAAAATCAAAAGGAGTGCAATTGTACTGCTGCTGGTATGTGGTGGTGTTTTGTTGGGCCTCTTCATGGCTGCTGTAGTTTCGCCAGTAAAGCGTCGAGCTCTTCCCAATTGCTCTGAGTCATTGCGAACTTTCGGTGTTTGCGTGAGAGGATGTGCTATTTACAGTCAGCCAAGTCCACGATAGTAGTCGAAGCAAACTTACCTCATCGAAGTCCTCGTACTTATCACGACAATTCTCGCAATAACCAGGTTTGGGTTCCCGTTGTGATCGTTTGCGGTTGCCCTTACTCGCCCGTTGACGGAGGTATTCCTCCTCTTCGTCCTCCTGAATGCCACCGAGCTTCTCTTGTGCTTTGCTCTTCGCTGCTCGTGCTGGAGCGGGAGCCCGAGCATTCTTTAACACGCCAGCCAGGTCCTGCATACGATGCGAGCTCGGTATTGAACCAACAGACGCGCTGCCAGTATTACTGCGCTCGAGCACTTTCCGCTTGAGCTCGTTGACTTCCTTGCTGGTATTAGTTTTGACACCAGTCGCGGCTGTGGACGAGATCATGTTGGACTGTATCGCCGAAGTCAAGTTGGAGCGTTGAATCCCGGACGCGGCAGGCTCACGAGTCATCAGCAGCGGGCCTCCAGGAGCTCGGACGAAGTCCATGCCGTTCTGGCTGGGCAATGGTGGAAAAGAGTTGGTGGAGTCGGTTCGCTTGTGAAGCATACTTGGGTTGATGGTTGCTGGTGGAGGATTGTGCAGTTCCCTGAGCGACTTGCGAGGACTTACCCGTCGCGGTGGTTGCATTCGCGTAGGCTCTTCTCGTTGAAGGGCGCGCTGTTGTGCTGCTTTGCGTTCCTGATCCTTCCTAAGTTGCGGATCCTCGATAAAAGGACACTTGCCAACCGCAGCGGAGCGGAATTGCGGCCACTCTCCATCACCCTTCTTTGCTGGCTGCTTGTATTCTCGGGCCATTGTTGGTCGATATCGTTCGTCCATGTCGTGGATGTAGATGTACGGGCCCTTAAATGGAATGAGGTCACGCTGCAGGCCAGGCCTCTCACGCTCCGATGTTACCACCCTGTCGTTCCGCAGTGCCTGGGACAGATCATTCTGATCCCGAACCGCTTCTCGTGCAGGCGCCAATGTGCTCTTCTGCTCCATGGTCGACAGAACTCGCTGTAGCTTCTCGGCTGCCCATATTTTCATGCCCATCTGCAGCCCTCGCTGCAGAATATCCAAGGCAGGTGCACCATCCTTACGCTGTCGGGCCGCTTTGTCCAGGGCCGACGTACTCGTGGCCTGCGACTGATCATCCTGACCAGAAGCTACAGAGGCGATGTCTTCGGTAGGTATCTGCCTGGTTGTGATGATATGGGTGACCGATTTCGAGAAGAACTTCTCTTCTTTCTACGCGAGTATTAGCTAAGCTGGTCGCCACACGAGCAAGGCATGTCGACACTTACCGCACCGAAATGTAAGATGTGCTTGACGAATTGAGCCTGCTCGCGAGCACGGGCAGGCTCCGTGAAGCCGTCGAAGTAGAAAGAGAACGAAGGGAATAATTTTCGATAATGCTCCTGCCACCGCCGAAGTTGAGAGTCCTCCTTCTGTGTTGGCTCGACATTCTTGGTCACTCGCATGCCAGCTTTGGATTGCGATGCTGCTGCGACCAACTTCTTCTGAAATGCATTGGAGCCAGCTGTGCCATTGCCTCGATCGAATACCCTCTTCGACCGTGTTTCGGGTGGGTGTGACAGGCCCAGTCGTGGCTTTGTCAACAGCAAGGCGCTTTTGAGGTGGCTCATTTTCCTGTAGTGATATGTTGGCCTGAGCACGTGAGCGTTTTGAACCGCTCGTGGTCAGGAAGCGATGCGGCGAGTTGGTGGCATTTGGAATGTTCGCCAGAGGTGCCCTTCGATGACTCGCAGTAGCCATGTTGCCTATAGACAGCGAATCGTGAGGCGACGGCGGTACTAGGACAGCAGCTGCCATTCATAGGGTGTCTGGCAGACCGTTGTCAAGGTATCGAGTGATGTGCAGGGATATGGCGGGATGGAGGACGCGATCCGACGCGTGCTCGAGATTCCCCAAGACCAGGACTTTAAAAGGTACTCATATTTGATATGCAGTGCGACAGGTCTGGTTTAGTGATGTTTGTCGAAAGTCAGTCGACCAGAGCTTCCCCAGGGTATAGAGAAGGTACCGAAGCTGTGGTGCAGGCTGGGTGTGGTTCGAGGATATGAGAGGCGGGTGTTGACATGAGAGAAGAGCAAGAGTTCCGAGTTGGAGCTACACCGCACAGGCGCTAGTGACGCTACCTTCCCAGCAACCACAGGCCAAAAACACTGGCAACCACAACCCCACTCCAGCATAACACCTGCAAATTGATCAACTTGCTTCTCAATTGATCAGTACACCAGATCAGTTTGATGATAATTATGATGAGTCTGAGATATGTATGATTTGTATGTAATCCTCGGAATAGAGTGGGCGCGCATCCAGTGCATTATTGCCGCCAATGTTTCGTGACTTTGTTGGTACAGTATAGTCCATCTCACCATCGCCCGGTAGGTAAATACAAGAACCACCGCCATCTTCCCCTCTCTTCCATCCGCCTTTCATCATGCAATGTTATGATTCATGCCAGTATTCCGGGTATCGATTGTTCCGAAACGGTCGTGACTGCTCAAATTCAAAAGGAAGATCTCACCATGAGGAAGCCAGCTTGGTCTGCGGTGATAGAGGCCTCCTCAAGACAATGTCACTGATCTGGATGTCAGAGCAGTTCGACGATTAGTTGATGATGTGTCGTGCACCATATTTGCCCAGCACGCCGGGCTCCTTGGGTTTCGGACTCCTATCTCGGCCCTTCTTTCGACTGAGAAAGCCAAGTACGCTTCCACCCTTGTCGCCGCCTCGATCTGCTCCGGCATCCGCTGGCAGGCTCGAGGTCTGATCCGATAGCTGCGACCAGCTTCCTCCTTCGTCTAGCACCATTTGTACACCTCCACCTTTGCTCATCTGTCGCGATGCAGCCTGCGGTCGTTGAGGCGGGAGTGGACGACTGAACGACTTCGATGCTGACATCGGTCTTGGAACCTGAGCTGACGTCTGTGGAAGTGCTGTCCGCAACTCCTCCAGTGCAGGGAAGTTGTCCGAGCCCTGCGGTTCTTGCGTTATAGCGGTCGGTGAAATCGGTGGAGAACCATCCGCTGATGATGCTTGCGATCGTGCTTGTGATCGATTTGATAAGGTCGTCTCCAGATTCTCATCGGGTGGTGGAACCTTGCCTGCTACAGCTTCCGCTGCTTGTCTGTATACTTGGTCAGTAATCTTGGAATGCGATGCAGAATGGTCGACCCACATTTCATAGCTCGCACTGGTGTAGTCGAAGGGTTCGAACATGGTCTCGATCATGCGATGGAGTTCGTCCTCTCTAATTTCGCGACTTGTGGCGTCGTGCCTCAGTTCGGCTCTCGGTTTCTGCTTCCTCGCTCTGGCCTCCAGTGGTGCCTCTTCTAACAATAATTCTTCCAGATCGTACGTTGCATCAAAGTTGGTCTTCTCACTCGATGGGACGAATATTGGCGCTATCTGTTTTCGTTCAAGTGCCATAAAGTCGATTGGTTGGAAGAAAGGGTGGTTGACGAAAGTGGCGAACCCTGTAGCACCTATTCGTTTCCGCCGGTCCTTTTCCATCAACGATGTCATAGCGTGTAGACATGGCATCGACACTGGTGGCTTCGTAACAAAGTACTTCGGGTTTGCTGCACACACATTCTCGGCCAGCTCTTCATGGCTCTTGCCTCATAAGGTCTCTTGCCATAGATGCACTCGTACATAGTGACACCCAACGACCACCAGTCTGGCTCGCTCAGGTAGCCTGAGCCCCTGAATACCTCTGGCGCCAGGTATGCCAGAGTTCCGGATTTGCTGGTTAGTGGTTTGCCCGGCTTGAAATCCGAGGCGACGTTGAAGTCGGCCAAATGAACATGGCCTTCCGAGTCAAGCAGGACATTGTCGGGTTTCAAATCTCGATGCACGATACCTTGGCCGTGAATATATCTGAGCGCGCAGGCGATCTCTGCCATCCAGAAGCGCACTGTTTCCTCAGTGAAGGCCTTCCGTTGGATGTGAAACCGAAGATCGCCTCCATTCATCAAGTCCACTACGAGGTAGAGGTATTCGATGTCCTGGAAGCTATATCGTAGATTGCATAGGAATGGGTGGTTGAGATGCTCCAGCATACGTCGTTCACGGATGATGTTACGTACACTTTCTGAGCGAACGACTGGAAATCCTAATCAGCACACGTTTGGACCTTGAGGTACGGCGCTCTCATTACCTTCATCTTTGCGTATATATTTGAGAGCAAATGTGAGACCAGAATCCTTTCGTTCAACGATGCGGACTTTTCCGAAAGCACCCTTGCCTACCACCCTGAGAAGTCGAAAGTGGTTCAAGTTGACTACAAGCGTCAGTTTAGCAATCCGAGACGACAGTAGGATTTAATATACCTTCATCTGTGTAGACGACAGGCTTGCCCTGAGAATTGCCCATGTTGGGGGCCTCTGTCGTGGGCTGGCTCTGACAGAAACGTGGCCTCGGAACGGTCCGGTCTGGTCAGAATAATGATGTCGGCATGAACAACCAGAATGCGTCGACAATTAAGTTGCTGCGTGCAACGACTTCCAGAAAGTCGGTCGGAAGCTGTGCCCTCAAGTGCTATGAGCGACAGGAAGAAGTGCGAAGATGTCAGGTTGGAAGCGTCATGACATGAAGACGAGGTCGCAGCAAAAACAGGAGGCGGAGATTGAAGTGAGACGGTGAGCTGCCGGGACAGTCAGAAGCGTGGTCGTATCGCTGTGGATGGTAGAGCGGGCTCAGCAACCACACGCGATTATGTTGGTATGATGAGTAGTATTGTTGAGTCGGATTTGATGGCGTTGGAGGTTTGTGTCGGCGACGAGAGGCAAAAATTTTGGGTAAAGGGAAGGAGACGTGCATATGCACAACAGCGCAGAGCGAGGGTGCTGCAGAAGTGAACCGACAAGGATCTCAAAACTGGGCTAGTGTGCTCCAGAAGAGCAGATCAGGGCCCCGAATGCCACCCGCCGGCGCGTGGTGGCGTTCAAAGAGAACAAGCCTTCAGCGATGGCAGGCTAGGGGTAGCTCGGATCAATGGCGCTCTGTACCATCTAGGTGGACTTATTAGGTAGCCTACAGCCAGAGAGACTGGAAACAGGGCTTTACATGTACGGCAGGCATCATTGCACATGCTGTGTATCGCTCAACGAGACAGCACGCAGGGAGAGAGAGTGATTGCCTGATTATTGAAGCGAAAGTTGGGTGGAAACTGTGTTTCAAGATCGACTTGGCTAACGTTCCAGAAGATTTGAGCCAAGCCAGAGCAGCAGTGAGGGGGAAGTCACACGGCAATTCTATCACCATCACTAATCTCACAAACATTCCCGGTGACAGTATAGTACGATTTACTGCGACTCACATCGTGCACAAGCATGCCGCGGTTCTACAGACCCGACGGTTTGGATGTCATTCGGCTGCCTCCATAAGCGGCTGACACGGATGCATGCATCTCTTCGCGGGCGGCATGTGGTTGACGTGCGTTATGCCGTTGAAAGACGCTCTCAGGTTCGCCCTGGCCATTCTTGCACTACGATCATCAGCTTCGTCGAACATCGACTTCGTATTTTGGAGCTCGGACGCTCATGGATGTCGCGAGATTCTGATTCGTTCGTCTTTGGTTCTCGTCTGGCCGATGTTGAGCCTCCGATCAAGGTAGTACAGTTGACTAACCATGAGTCCGCAGAGATTGAACTTTAAGCAGCTTCCCTGCTCGTGGCTGCCCACCTGCCACGTTTTTCCACGTGGCCCGGAGTCGAGACTTTTCCAGGTTTTCTATTTCCGCAGCTCGACTTTGGAGCCGCATTCTATGGCTAAGCAACTTTGACACCATTCCAGCCAGTCGACTGTTCAGTATTGACGCCTGCAACATACCGAGGAATCAGCGTCCTAGCGTCGTCTGCTAAGAAGCGGTTTTCTCCGTGATTCAGCTGTCAAAGCACGGTTCAATGATTCAACATCTTTCTCCGTTTCGGGTATAGCTATGCCATAGGGCTACCAGATCCGAAAAATCCCAGAGCTCCGCTTCGCTGCAACAGCTCCCGAGCAGACAGTACCACGGCAGCAATGGGTACCTACACAAGCTGCTCAAATGTCGTCGAAGGGTGTCGACTTCCGCGAGGCGGTTTGCAAAGCTTGCACACAACGCTCTCATCTCGTGTGAAGGCCGCCCTGATTCCAGGAAGTAGAAGTGCTCACCACAACGCTGTGTAGCTGCTCACCAACAGGAGCCAGGCACTTCTGCTGCTACTGACCTTGATACTAGTAGCCAACGATGACTGCTTGCCGACGACTCTCCTTGGCCTGACTACAACATGTGTGTTCGCTCTGCAGATCTGTATCAGATCATGACCAGCTTGTCGGTGACTTCACGCTAGCTCAGAGGAAGCTACGAAGCACCGTCGGCAGGTTCTCGGCGAAAGCGTAGAAGGAATGCTGCCTGTACACGACACCATGACCTCCTGATGATCAAAACTCTTTCGCGACCACAAGTGACAAAGACCTGCGTTTCGGGCACATTGCCTGCCTGTCCTCGACCGCATTCAGGTACAAGGAGCCTGCAACACAATCAAAGACCTTTGTAGGTATTGTCAGCAGCTTTCGAGGTAAGTCGCAGTGATCATGGCCAACTCCCATTCAATGATGTCTCAGGGGCCTAAGGTGAGTCCATCGACGTCGATGGGACCAAACCATGGGCAACGTCACTTCTGCATTACAACACGAAGAAGCGTGTCGACTTCGCGAAAATAAACATCCCAACTTAAACGCTGTCCACGAATATGACAAGAACACTGCCTATAGAACCGCAAGCTGGACCAACGACCGCAAAAAGCTTGCACGACGGAGGACGAGATGGGGGCTCAAAGGTAGCTACAACACAGATGCATACAATTTCTTGACATCCCGAGCACTGGTCAGCGATGACCCGAACGAGATATGGGAGGGCGTTCAACTCCTCGGCAAGGGCGCTTTCGGCACAGTCGGCTTATGGAAGAGATTTGATAGCAGAGGACATGTCATAGACTCGGTCGCGATCAAGGAAAGCAAAGAATCGGATCCGAGAGTGAAAGTCGATTTGCTCCGGCGGACGCATGGCAGGGAGAAGATCCCACGAAAGGCTTTCTGGCAGGATTTCTTCAGTCGACGGACTCCTTACGTACCTGTCTTGAGGAAGATTGTTCATTTCCTAGGCTCGACGAACTCATGGCGCTTCTATACTGAATACTGTCCGAACGGGGATATCTTCGGTCTCATCGAAGTCTATCAGAAGTACAATGCAGATCGCGCACAAAAGCACCCACACGAGCCGGTCGAGCGGATTCCCCTGCTATACGTTTGGGCTGTCCTGTACAGTCTTGCGCATGCCCTGCACAGGCTCAAGCTCTCGGAAAGAGATGAGGACGAGATCGACGACGTCTTGAACCATGACCTTCTGGATGGTCCTTCCGATCCAATGTTCGTCCTCCACCTCGACATCAAGGACGCAAATATCCTGCTCGGAAACCCCTACAAGCACCATCTCATGCGAGGCTACCCAATAGCGAAGCTCGCTGACTTCGGCCTCGCCTCGCTGACCAGCATGAACCACGAACGGAACTCACGCAAATGGAGAGAATGGGGCACCAAGATCTGCGATCCACCAGAACAGTACGACAAGGGCCACTTCGACCACTTCTGGCAGAATCCCACAATCCATCCTGGCCGCAACACTTCATACCCCTTCACCCCAAAGCACGGCGTCTGGCAGATCGCAGCCGTGGTCTTCTCCATGATCGATCTCGGCCCGAACAATCTGTGGCTGGACCAACAACTGCAGTATCTTGCACGAAATCCGCGGGAGGCGGAGCGAAAATGCAATAGCAGCAGGCCTCGTGGCCAATGGCTAGAAGGGCGCTTCACGCACGAGAGTTTCGCGGACTACGGTACGGATATTATGCACCTGTTGGCGAGTTGCCTTAACATGATACCTGAGAACCGGCCGAGTGCTAGAGAAGTTATGAATGCGTGCTTGAGGGGCATGCAGAACGAAGTCGACCGCTTGGAACGTGAGCGGATCGCGTACCCTGTCGTGTTCTTTGGGGACTATGGTCTGGAGGAGTTGAAGGATCATATGCGGTCGAGGCGGGCGAGGAAGGAGCGGAGGAGGAGGGAGGATAGGGATGGGAAAAGGCGGAGGCATAGCCACTGGTGATGAGGGTTGTGCTGTGAAGCATCGTACCTCTGTCCACACAGATATATTTGTAAGGTAAGAATTGAGATTCCGGCGAGATCTCTAGGCAGTAGTTCAGGTAGCCACACATTGGGACTATATCGTCGACATCTCGCTTGAAGAGCGTATGCGTGTTGTCATACACTGACAGTGACGAGTATTTGCACATGACTTCGAGTCGTTTGCTGTATCCTGATGTCGTGTTTAAAGAATCTGTGTCATCCGGTCTCAACAAGGTCTAGCTGTCATCCGGACGTAGATTCAAGCTCAGAGACGGTCAACCGGTCTTGTAAAAGACCACTCGTCAGCCACCGTCTACAAGATTGATCCGTTCCGTTTAGCTGCAGAGGACGACCGTGCTAATACACTGCAGCGTATCTCATCCTGCTAGGCAGAAGTGCTCAAAGGGAACATTTCTGTGTCATGAACTTCATCGCATCGTTCGCACTGTACTGCAGGCGTGATATGTCTATATGCCTCCCCCATCCCCCAGTCTCAAAGGCGTTCAACCCAAACCCACCGATGACTGATAGCCTCCGATAGCTCTCGAAGACCCCGATCCGAGAAGTCATGCCGAACAGAGACTCTTCTCTCATCAGCGCCCCCGTCAGACCTCCTTAAAATACCCTTTCCGCTGGCTTGCCTTCCAATCCGGCGTCTTACTCGCGTGACTGTCTCCGAAGGGATCGTCCTCGTCCTCGTCACTAGCGGACTCGCTCTCGCTCTCTACTTGCTGTCTCCTGGCCGCGGGAGACGCTGCCGGCTGCGGCGGCATTCTCAGCCCACCCGGCGCACCGGGCCTCGGCGGCTTCGTAGGTGGCGAAGCACCCATCCTTGATGATTTGTCGTTCAAGCTCAGTCCCGCCACCATCTTCTCCGCATCTCTGGCGGAGCTCGCTTCTGACATCTTCGCCTGTCTGCTCAAATGCATAGCCTCCTCAACCTCGGAGTCACTGTCATCGTCTACGCTCTTATCGAGTACTTCAAATGCGATCAGTGCAGCCACCAGCTCGTCGTTCGCGTGTATAAGTCCACCAAGAAACTCTTCCTGCTCGACGTAGTGGATGTACCGGAGCACCTGGCGGCGGAGAGATTTGCAGGTCTCGAAGCGCTTCATGACTTCTGGGTCGTCGGCTACGCGATTGTGTTCTCGGTTGACGAGCTTAAGGGCGTTGTTGAGATTGGTCGTTGCGACTGAGGCAGACGCTATGGATTGCAGGATGGCGGGCTTCTCCTTGTTGAGGTCGAAGCTTGGTTGGCGCCTTTCTTCTTAGACTTCTTTTCTTTTCGGGAGGAGAGGAAGGAGCCTGATGAGCCCAATGGTATTGGTGCTTGATTCTTCCGGAGTGTGTTGGGTGACGAGGTCTCAGCAGCGTAGGAGTTGGACCGTGAGCGCGAATCGTTCGAGTCCATACGGCTAGCATAGGACTCTTCCTCAAGAGCTCGATCTCGATGAGCCTCCTCTTCTGTCTCGCGAAGAACTCGGGACTCCTTCTGACGCTGGACATTTGTCTTCGCACGCTTGGGAAGTTGGTTGTATAACGATTTGGCACCCTCCAGGCCTGGAGCAGTGGCGGAGGAAGCAACCCATTGGGAGAAGAGGTCCTTGCATTTGGCGCGGACATCAGGATCAGACACCTGGTCAACGGCGGCGATTCGCAGGCGTTCTAGTAGAGGGCCATCCGACAAGATTGTGCGTTGCATTCGCTGCGGGCCATTTTGTAGTAAGCCATCGAGAATGGTCAAAGCTCGTAATTGTCTGTGCACAGAGCCATATTTCAACTTCTTGCGTATTGCTCGGGCGGCTTCCGTTGGCCCAGTGGCTTGTAGTTTGATCGACTCGAGGATGTCAGGGATGCCGGCAAGGTCTTCTTCATCGTAGGTCTCGGACGTGAGTTGCTCGACGGCAACGGATATGGACGAGAAGGGTTTCTTTTGTTTCGAATAGCGGTATCGCGTTAGCAGCTGGTACTTCCTTCGGGAACGGGCACAGCAGAAGCAATGAAGCGCAAGAGCAATCAGTTTGCGGCAGCCGCGAAGGCTGGAGACTGACGGCCTTGACAGGAATGATGTGGATGCCGGAAGGTTGTTTGGATATGCATCGAACGTGGTCTCGTGCCGTGGCTTCTTCCGGGAGCACCGCTGGCAGTCGTCGTCTTCATCGATGCAGGCCAGTAGTGACTTCTCACACTCCTCTATGCGGGCCGAAAGCTTCTCGTCGCGAGGAAGTTCCGTGACGATGACATCGGGGCAGGCCCCAGAGAAGGCTACCAGAATAGACATGTCGGCGGAGGTGTAGTGTCGATTGCGGGGAATGAGATGTATGCTACAGATCAGGGCATAACTCCAGGGCGTGGCAGGTTTCAAGATCATGAAATATGACTTACAGGAGAGGAGAACATTGCCCGGGAGTGAGACGGCCTGTACGGATATGATATGTGTGGCAGTGGTAGCCCAACCCGGGGCCACGGGCAGGTGCAGACGGATGGTGGTTGTTGGCAGGAGTGCCAGAGAATGGCCGAGATTCCTGAGCCGAGTCAGGAATAGCTAGCTCCGTTTCCCAAGACAATCTCACAGCGAGCGGTGGACGGTCGGCTCGAAGAATGTAATGATATGATGGTGGGGTCAGAGCAAAATAGAAAGGAGTCGGAACATAACATTGAGAAATGAACGAAACGGAGATCGAAGCGTTTGTTGTGGTCAGCGGGCTATGAACGAGGGGTCAATTCCCATCTGCCTTGCTAAAATTAAGGCAAACATGGAGATTGCTTCATGAACCAGTCAACTCTTCGACATGCCGCCTCTCCGAGGCCAGGCTTTCCGTGAAACATCGCGAACACCCAAGGTTTTTGCTGCGATCAGGCGCATGGCTTTCAGCTGTCGGACAACAGAGACCTCTACACGAGTTGAGGCCGACTTGAGAGGATCGAAGTGTCCATGCCGCTATCGAAGGCTAGAGGCTAGACTGTTCGAACATTGCTTCTAGCACTTGGCGAGGAGACCTACGAGGTCCAAGCGCGGGTTTCTCGAATACAACGAAGTGTCATCGATATATCACAGCGGCTGGCTCCTGTCAGGCTGTCAGTATGGCCCCGAGTTCGATTGAGAAGCCAGCCGTTGACAGGTCCCTTGACCACTTTCGTGTGTGATACGAGCATCTAGACTTGTTCAAAGGCCCTCGCGAGTCTCAACAGGCTGTGGAAGCCCCCATCGGGCGATCTCCAGGCTAGACAAGGGCCTGCCCCTGACCGTCCTCGCCACGTGAGAACCCAATTCGAGCCTCTCTGGACTTTCTTCCTAACAGCTTCGAGCAGGGAGTGAACCGCCCTTCCTTGATGCAATGTACGGCTGGTGTTCGAGGGCGAAAAGTTGGCCAGACTTGGCCCAAGAGATTCATCTTCGAGGCGCGAGTTCTGCGCAACAATTTGCAGAGAATGTATTAGGCTGTAGGCAAGCATATCCGCCGGCAGCCAAGACGAGTCCGAGGACGACTCCAATATCATAGCGCTGACGACAAGCCACTGAAGATGCCTGTCTGTCACTGCAAACGAGGTCACTTGGGAACGAGTGGTCCGCCGGCCCAGACCAGCAAGTGATGTAAAATGGTGAGGGCGGTGGATCTGCCAATGCCAGCACGCGTAGTATCGAGCATACATGTACCGGAAGCCTGAACGGACGAGGTCTCGTGGTATAGGCAGGATACAAGGCTCAAGATTATAAAAGATGGAAGGCTGCAGGCATGCTCGCGCCGCTATCGATTATGCAGGTACTTCTTTCGCTACATCGCTTGCTCCCGAGATGTGGCTTGATGCCTTAAGTTGGCTCAGCATATCCGGCACTGCGCTTCGTTGTTGTCTTCTCTCCGGCGAGGACAAGAAGCCGGCAACCTATTGAGCGAGTCATGCTTGAGTCAGCTTGTATAGTAATTCAATGATCTTGGTCACGAGAGACAGATAAATCGATGATAGGCCTTGATATTAGATCCGCAGATAATGCCAAGATCGGTGTTTGCAGATGGACATGCCGATCAATGACTTCCACACCGACATGTGTCTTCGAAAATTCGCATCTCCATCCGCGCGACTGTAGCACTCTTGACACCGACCAGATCGATAGCGTTAGCATACAACGTCCGCCTAGCGCAACGCCATCAGTGGTGTAAGCAAGCCAATTGCATTCGAGGACCCGGTCACAGTGTGAGGATCTTGAACCCAGAACAACCCGAATAGACGTACTTGGGGCGGGTTATTGCTCTTGCATCGTTTGATGAGAGCATCGCACTTGACGACTGGTCGGGCTGTCTTCGTAACATCAATCTTTCTGGTCGTACTTACCGCGCTGGCTCCGGTCTACACGCCCAACATCGGTCACAGGCTCTCGACTGTTCTCAGTCACTTCCGCTTCCCAACGAGAGTCTTCTCCTCGAGTTCTTCTCTCACAGCCTTCAGACTAGGTACTAACTTCACAGCCATGGCTTACGATCAGGAACTGAAAGTGGCTCTCCTTGCCGTCGCTCGCGCCTCCATCCTGACCAAGTCCGTTTTCTCTGCCAAAGCTAAGGGTACCATCAGCAAAGACGATGCCTCCCCAGTCACAATCGGCGACTATGGCGCCCAAGCCCTAATCATCTCCGCCATCAAGAAGAACTTTCCGCAGGACGAGGTCGTTGGCGAGGAAGAAGCGTCCACCCTACGCACCGACACCTCGTTGTCGTCCAAGATCTGGGAACTCGTCAAGGACGTCAAGCTCGACGATGCGGAGTCTGACAGTCTACTCGGTGGCCCGATCTCTTCTGAATCTGACATGCTCGACGCCATTGACGCAGGCAACTCTGCTGGTGGCAACAAAGGTCGTATCTGGGCACTTGACCCTATCGACGGTACAAAGGGTTTCCTCCGTGGGGGACAGTATGCCGTCTGTCTCGCCCTGATGGTTGACGGCGAAGTGCAAGTCGGCGTCCTCGGCTGCCCAAATCTGCCCGTCGACGACTCCGTTGCTCTGACAGAGGACATCGGCGCCGCAGCCACAGACAAAGAAGGCTACGGTGTGCTCTTCTCCGCCATCAAGGGCCAAGGCGCCAACTCCCAACCACTGACCCGGAAAGCCGTCGGCAAAGGCCACGCCATCACAGTCAGCAAGATCACAGATGTCAGCCAAGCCGTGCTCTGCGAGTCTGTTGAGCCAGGGCACTCCTCCAAGGGCGACAATGCCGACATTGCGGCCAAACTCGGCATCACCGGCAAGCCCGTACAGATGGATTCACAGGCCAAGTACGGCTCAGTGGCGAGAGGCGCGGGCGATGTATACCTGAGGCTGCCAGTTAGAAAGGACTACGTCGAGAAGATCTGGGATCATGCGGCGGGAGATCTGATCGTGAGAGAGGCGGGTGGAGAAGTCACGGATGTGCAAGGGAAGCGGTTGGACTTCAGTCGGGGAAGGACGTTAACGGAGAATAAGGGTGTTGTGGCGAGCCCCAAAAATGTGCATGCTGAGGTGCTGGCGGCTGTGAAGGAGGTCCTGGGTGCGAAGACGAGTAAGGTTTAGATCAGTGTGGTGATGAAGACTTGAGGGGATGAAGCCGTGTTCAGTACTCCTGAGCGCCACAAGCAACTTTTGTCTGGAGGTTGCACAGATATGTGCATGCTAACCATCCATACATATGTATACACAAGCGCAGCATAAAATGTACAGATCGCTCAAATCGTTCGGACACCGCTTTCGTGCCCTTTCAATGCGCTGTCCAACTTGGCCGTCCGCCCCGTTTCCGTCTACTTGATCTTCTTCGCCTTCAGTTTGATCGTCTCATCATTGACATAAATCCCTTTGCCCTTGTACGGCTCCGGCCGCCTCCACTTCCTAATCTTCGCCGCAAAATGCGTCACCACCTGCTTATCCGGCCCCTCCAGCAGTATCCGCGTCGGCTGCGGCACACTCGCTTTCACGCCTTCTGGCACGCCCATCTCCACTGGATGTGCGAAGCCTAGCTTTAGGTTCAGGAAGGGCTGGTTGGGGTACTCGATGATGGAGGTGGGGACCAAGGGTGTGGGTTCGAGGGTGGCGCGGTAGCCGACGCCAACGAGGCGCAGGATGCAGACGTGGCCTTCGCTCACGCCGGAGATGAGGTTGGAGAGGTGCGAGGTCATTGTGCCCCACATGGCGCGTTGGTGTTTGAGGGTTGGAGTTTGCACGCGGGTGAGGAGTTTGCGGGAGGAGTCGGTGAGGGTTGTTGTTAGGTAGGGTGGGAGCGCGAGTGTGAGGCTGCCGAGAGGGCCTTTTACTTCGACCGCAGAGGTTGGTGTGTCGGCTTTGCGTGACCGTGCATTTTCAATGGGCAGGTCGAAGAAGCGTAGCGAGACGTCTGGTGGTATTGTTATTGGCTCTCTTCCTATCCGCGAGCATTGCGTGCGTGTCGTTGAGAATGTCCGTGACTTTGTGTGTCGGTTTGTGCGCCCAGACAGTGCTGGAACGAGGAATGATGGGACGTCGTGGGTGCGCGAGGCTTGCTGTAGGAGCTTGCGGAAGCTGGGTCGCAGGCCTGTGCAGGCCATGGTGGGAAGTCCTTCAACGAAGGCTGACGAGAGTGCTAGGGAGTACTCCTGTAGTATAGAGGCCCGTAGGCAGTGACTCAGGCAGTGGCACAGCGAGGTTGATCGGTCGTCGCAATATCGAAGAGCTGCGAAGGTCGGCGACGAGGTCAAGAAATATATCGTGTAAGGCTGATAGACAGCCTTGTGGGACTTTCGTGGCTTCTCCTTGAGTTCGCGTTCATGTCGAACTCCTTCCTTCTTCACGCTTGCCCATCTTTCGAGCAAGTTTGTATGAGCAAATGTACCAAAAGCTGCTCGAAGCGTAAGTCACGATCGACATGTCCAGTTCAGAGTAAGAGAACGCGTCCGACTTTCGTGCTTCACCATTCGCAAGTCGACATTCACCGCCGGCTTAAAGTCATTTCACTGCTAGCAGCAGTCGCTCTAGCACGATTATTATTGCAGTCTGTATTCGATCCCTTCCATCTTATAATCGACTATTTCCTTCTCTCCGATGTTATGACTCCGTCTGTACAGTCTGGCCCACGACTGCATTCTATTCCCGTCCTATGGACCCAAAGAATGTTCCCAATGCTTGTTTCCACGCCCATTGGGATGGTCAAGGCCGTCGGAGGCTATGCTTTACTCTTCTCTCTTCTCATAACCACTCTCGCTCACGGCGTAGACCCGAGCGCGGACCTGAGGACTACCGGTAGGTTGATCAGCAGGTGATCAGCAGTTCGTTGTGTCGCGCTAACACAATTAGTTCAATGGGACGCTTCCACCAGTGAGCTTGATCTCACAGGCGCCATCCTCCAGCGGAATATGAATGCCAATGTCATCCTACAGCGAGCTGCGGTCCTGCTCAAAGATCGACTGTCAGATTCAGGGCTACTGCAGGATGCCGCCATGGATCTGCTGCGAATCTGTAAGTCTGCGACAGATACTGAGGATCCCAAGCAGGCCAGAGACCTGGAAGGCAAAGCCAAGAAGATCTATGGTGTGCGTGCCGCTATGATCGATATGGACAGTGCATCAGTCAGCGTCCCTCGAAGTTGTGCTGTTCTGCTGAACCCGGGACAACGTGCATGGTTCCATGCATCGAAGGCAAGCTTGACCGATGCAGCGAACCTTCCATCGACAAGAGAGCTCGACTCTTGTCTGAAGGAGCTCTTCAAGGTCGACAACATGTGGACATCGTTCACCAGTCATCGGCAAGATGCAAACACTCTTTGCGAGGTGCCAGGTACGGAGAATGCATCTCGAATGATCGTGGAACTTCTCAATGATGTCAACAGCATCATTCCTGAATGGGTGCAGACATTTCGATTCGAACAAGAGGCGCATGCTGCCCAACTCGAGATGCGTATGTCCTTTCTGCGACAGATCCACGACATGGAGCAACAACGCAAAGATGACATCGAGCAAGAGCGTCATGATGTGCGAAAGAAGATGATAGAGTTTGAACGGATCTGGACGGCTCAGATCGACAAATTGGCGACTAACGCAAACGCCAAGATGAGTGATCTGGGTGGTCAGGTTGAGCAGATGCGCGGTGTAAGTGATTCAATGCACTATTGAATTCAACTGACAGACACAGGACTTGGAACATTATGCTGGGCACTTCTTGGTAGCTCGCAATGGGCACGAAAATTTGCTGGCTGCTTATCAAGCGACATTCTTTGAGCTACTGCAACAGCAGAAGCATGGCATGACTGACATTGATCTCGCGATCCAATCGCTCCTTGCTTCCTCCGAGCAGGCCAGCAACGGCATTGCACTCCAGTCCGATGCCGCTTCGCAGCTGCTCAAGAACGCCATGAGAGACGTTGCAGCACGACATGCTGAGCTAGCCGGTGGCCAGCTCGAATTTGGCACGACACAGCAAGTGCAACTTCGGCGACAGCGAGAATCTCTGGCCTTTACCGAGCAGCTCGAAACCAAGATTGCCGATTCGATTGGGGAGATCAACATGCTGCTGAAGCGTGCTGAACCAGTTCTGAAGGTCGTTAATGCTGTCGTGACGAGGAGAGTCGGGACCACGTTCATGCTTGTCTCTGGCTGTGCTGCAGTTTCAATCCTTCTGATGTCGATGGGTTACATCCGCTATGCTGTCACGATCATCTGCTTATCTGGTAAGTGTACTACATCCAACGAGACAGAAACTCAGAGGCTGACTTTCGCACCAGTACTTGGCTGGGCTATACGTGCTGTGGCATCTGAAGTCTTCGCTAAAGACCTACATGTGCAGTGGAGAGTTGTTCCTAAAGGCACGCACAATCCGTGGCTGGGACTTGTCTTTCTACTTACCTTTGCATCAACGTTCGTTGCTGTCAGACACTACCGATCTCGGCGATGTCAAAGAAATGGCCACCGGGTAGTACAGGAGAATAAGATGAGGTTATCGAGGACGACTCACGAAAGTCTCCGACGAAAGACTGAGGCACTACCTACATCTCGTCGAGCACAGACTGTGGAGCCGGATATGATAGGCTTTTATTGAGGGAAGACTTGCCGAAGCGAAGACTGTAGCGGCATGTAAGAAAGGAGCTGGGGTATACGACAAAATGTGCTATTCATGGGTAGGCCAACACCGGTCATCGACAAGAGCAATTTGTCGGAAGAGTACAAGAAGCGTAATTTAGATATCGACATCAAGATTAATCGAATTTATCTCAATTACCTCAAGCGTCAGACGTCCCGTAGTGATCGACTCTGGGAGGCGCGAGTCTCTGAAGGAAAGTTGCGTGGAGCAGGAGCACGCGTAGTGACCTCGTGGCGACTTCCTCACGGAATGACCACATGACTCCGATGGTCTCGCCGTCGGTCATCCCGCTTCAAGCGCTATGTAGAGTCTGCTCTTCATTCCGTGTAAGCACCTTTGTGAAATAGTCTCTCGTCGCCCGATCGACTCTGGCTGGATTCCGGGGATAGTGGTAGTGGTACCACGAGGAGCCCTGTACCTTGGCGATTGTTTGGACACGTTGAGCGAGGGTACTTCGAGCGACCTTACGAAGCCGTTTGGAAACCGCGAGAAGCCCAGAAACCCAGTCTGGGTCCCACTTGAATGGTCGACCTTGCTTCCAAAAGCCTGGTACCCATTCAAGTGGTCGATCATGCTTCCAAGAACCTGGTACATAGGTGGTGGTGACACAGACGCTATCCGGGATGGCGAAGCTGATGATTCTCTCCAGAATCTCGCGTGGCATGCTGACGAGGTTCGGTTCGGCCTTGGCCTGGCAGGATCATGTCAGTGACTGGATCATAAGATTGAGGACGGAGCGTGATCGCGTACCCAAGATGGCGTAGAAAGAGTTTGAAACATGGTGAATTGTGTTTTGAGGCTATAATGTAGGGACGAGCGAGGTACCGTGCGAGAGTGCAGCTCCGCAGTTGCGTGTCCAAGAAGCGAAGCGGTGACGAGAAATTTTCACTTGAAGGTGGTGCGATCAGGTCTGGGATCGAGCAGATTCGACCTCGTAGGCCTGACTGAAGAGTCGTTTCATCGATTGTCGTAGGCAATACGCTGCAAGTTGCGAAGAAGCCCTAGCTCTTTTCAAGTGCCCTCTTCGCAGCAGCAGTCCCTGCTTTCCGACCAAACACAGCTCCAGCAGTCAAACCTGAGCCACCAGGGTAATTCTCGTTGAACAAGCCTCCGAGCATCTCCCCAGCAACAAACAGACCTTCAATCGGCCGCCACCTGCTTCCGTCCTGCTCGTCGGCGAGTACAGCAGCAGTATTCGGGTCTGCTCTGAGACCACCGAACGTGAACGTGACACCACAGGCCACCTTTACAGCCAAGAAGGGCGGCTTCGCGATCGGTAGTGCCCAATTGGTCTTGTCAAGCTCCAGTCCGCCTCCAGAAGACCGAGTCGACAGACCATCTTTCTTCGATGGATCGAACTTGACGTCTGGGTTCTCCTTCCGATGCTCAGCAACAGCAGCGTTGTACTCTTCAATGGTCCGTACAAAGTCGTCTGGAGCCTGCAAGCCTTGTTCCGCCAGCTTTTTCGCGAGTTCTTGCAACGACTCAGTAGTGATTCGCTGCACGACATCCGGCGCATATTCCTCCTTCCGCAGCCAGCTGGTACCATCTGCATCCCAGACCTGGAAGACGACGCCCGAGGGCTGTCGGAGGATTGCCTTGCCGAACACAGCGTACGTATAGTTCCGCATATCTATCCCTTCGTTGACGAACCTCTTTCCTTGCGTATTGAGCATCAGCCCCAGCGGATATCCTGATTTTGTGTACTGATTGGAGAGAACGCGGTCACCAGTGGTATTGCTAGCGTTGGCATCCCAGCAAGTCGCGTGGCAGCCAGCAGAGACTGGGTCGAAGCCGACGGTTGCGGCGCCAGCTTTCATGGCCAGCTTGAGCAAATCGCCGGTATTATGAGGTGTACCCCGGACGTACGCCTTAGACCATCCCGGACCAAGATGCTTCTCCCTCATATCGCTATCTGCCTCGAAGCCACCGGCGGACAGAATCACACCGCCTCTCGAGCGGATCGTCTTCGTTCTGTCGCTGCCTCTCATTCGGACCTCGACGCCCACTACTGGTCCAGTTGGCTCATCTCGCACCAAGCCCACGACTGGACACTCGTACAGGACCTCCACGCCTTTCCGCCGCGCATTGGCCTGATGCATTCTTGTCAGTCCCTTACCGCCGTCCTCGACCATCAGCACCATTCCTCCCCAGAACTTAAATCTTCCGTCGATCTCATATGCCTGTCGATTGAAGCTGAATTGGAACTGTATACCGTTCTTCGCCAGCCATTTCGTTGTCGCTCTGCTCTCCCTGACCAGGACCTTCGATAGCTCTGGATCAGTCTTACCGTTCGTCACACGTTGCAGGTCGTGCATGAAATCCTCCTCCATGTACGGCGACATATCGATCCGGCTGGCGACATCGGGGGGAGCATTGTTGACCAGTGGAAGCACATCGTCGAGCCCGTGGAAGACTGTGCGATATGCGCCGGCGGTGAACGTGCTGTTCCCGCCAGCCCACTCCTCGGGTGCCTTCTCAAGCAGAAGTACTCGAAGGTTTGGGTCATGTTCTTTTGCAGCGGCAGCGGCTGAGAAACCTGCATTGCCCGAACCAACAACTATCACATCGTAGTCATACTTCTCGTCACTGATCGAGCCCATGGCCGCTATCAAAAATGCGCTACTGGTACATATGCAGAAAGTATGCACTTATGGTCAGCTACCTACTGACAGACCCGTAACCTCAAATATCTGCTTGCTCGGTCAATTTCCGAGCGTTATGCTGTGTTGTTGCTGGAGTGTGTGCATTATAAGAGGTTGGGATCGCCTGGATGGTACCCGTGGAGTTGCAGACTCACGTACCCGTGTGGTCTGGGACCTCACCTGGGCAGTATACCCATCCGTTCTCTAGCCCCGAGGAAGAGTTTGCACGGCTTTCATGACCGATGGACCGCCCGAGGCCCCCAAAGTTCGTCATCGTCCTCGTTACCCCAACTTTTGGCGTGCAGGGCCCCTGACTCAAGCCCACAAGCCCACAAATCCGCATCGCTCCTGCCAATGACACCCTCGCGACAGCGCCTAGAAAGAGCTTGGGGAGCTTAATTCGAGGCAAGTACGGCTTAACGTCGAGACTTCGGAATGGGCTTCAATGTTTTCCCGGCTTCGAACTTCTGCGAAGTGGTCAGATGCCAGCCGGCATGCCTTACCCACCAGCAGGAACGACTTGACAACTGCTGAGTCAATGCGATAGCAGCAGCGACGGCGCAAGAAGGCCATCTCTCATCGCAGATCTGGGGCAAAGCACTGTACGAACGTGTGGGTAGATTGAAAAAGCAGCACTGCTGATCAATGATACCCTTCCGGAATGAAAGCATATGTGCCTAACCGCTCAGCCGCTTTGCCGACACCCTGCCAACGGCACGACTAGTAGGACATCGTGTGGCGACCATTTGTTCTTCTCAACGAGAGAGACGTAAGCTCAACTCCAGTCCTTCCTTTCTCCGCATTGTCTTGCATACTTAGTACCGCTTTTGTCCTCTGCTCGTTGTGACCGTTCGAAGGACGGCACCCGGTGAAGTTGACTTTCCCCCACTACCCAAGGCAAAGACTATAAGCACTTCCGCAACCCGTTGCAGTTGTATCTGCTCTTCTGTCGCGTCAGGTGATTTAGACCGGTTCATAGCACTCTCGTTTGCAGCAGCACCTCCTTGCAAGCGAGCTGCAGTCAACATGGCAGAGAAAGTTCACCACGACCATCGTGAGCCTTCTTTGAGTTCTGACGATCCTACGACCGCTCATTACGACAATGAGAAGCACATCAACGACCAACCGCACATCGCTGGCGTGCACCAAGATTCAAGTCTCGTTGCGAGCAAAGCGGAAGAAGATGCTGTGTTTCGCAAGGTGAGTACCCACAAGAATTCGCAAAGCACTTGACTCACCCCTTCTCCAGCTCGATTGGCATTTGTTGCCCTTTGTCTTCATCCTATATAGTCTGTCAGTCCTAGACAGATCGAATCTCGGCAATGCACGGCTCGCTGGCTTGGAGGAACGGATCAACCTGACGGGATGGCGGTACAACTGGCTGGGGACAATTTTCTACATTGCCTGTGGGTTCCTTCCATCTCCTCTATCTATAGCCTCCTTCGACAGGATTCGCCGCGACAGAACATGACTGACCACTTGGCAATAGACATCCTCTTCCAATGGCTACTCATGGGCTGGAAAAGATTCCCGGCGCACATATACTGCGCGATCGCGGTCTTCGGCTGGGGCGTCATCGCGACTGTCCAGGCCGGCGTCACGGGCTGGGGATCTCTCATGGCTTGCCGCTTCCTCCTCGGTATATTTGAAGCGATGTTTGGACCAGGCGTGCCGCTATATTTGAGCTTCTTCTATCCCAGGGACAAGGTTGGCTTCCGACACGGCGTCTTCATCTCAGGAGCCGCGATGGCAAACGCTTACGGAGGTGCGCTGGCTTATGGGTGAGAACCATCCCTCCCTCTTCGGGCTACTCGCCGTCTGTTGTCGTCCCTGTCACATCCAGCCAGCCCTTCCAACCTTACAGCTACTAACCCGTGCTGCCCACCACACAGAATCTCCCAGATCAAATCCTCTCACATCGAACCCTGGCAGATCCTCTTCATCATTGAAGGTCTCCCAACCTGCTGCATTGCCTTCGTAGCCTTTTACGTCCTCCCAGACTCCCTGTCCAAGGCCAAATTTCTGTCGGATCGCGAGAAGCAAATCGCCGCCGCGGCCATCGCGCGCAACCAGGTCGCTGATCCAGACCGGGCTACGGGCTTCCAGTACAAACACGTGCTCGCTGCCCTCAAGGATCCCAAGTCGTACATCCCTGGAGTGATGTACTTTTCCTGCAACGTCAGCTTCGCGAGCTTACCGCTGTTTGTGCCGACTATCATTAGCCAGATGGGAGCTTTCACGAAGATTCAGAGCAATGGGCTCAGCGCGCCGCCTTATGTGTTGTGCTTCTTCATGATTTTGTTGTTGACGTGGCTGTCGGATCGCTTCAACAAGCGCGCGCCATTCATCATCTTTGCAAGCTTGGTCGCTGCGATCGGGTTTATTATGCAAGCGACTTGCACAGGAGTGGTGCCGCGTTATGTTGGCGTTTTCCTGAGCGTGCAGGTGTTCTGCTGTGTGGCGCTGACGTTGGCATGGGTGAGCAATATTCATAGCACGGAGAGCAAGCGCGCAGGTGGGATGACTGTGTTGGCGACGTTGGGGCAGTTTGGCCCGCTTTTGGGGACGAATGTGAGTTGCCCATTCATTGTTGTATACAGGCTTGCTGACAACGTCGTCCAGGTCTTCCCTGCCTCCGAGAAGCCATTCTACCGCAAGGGCATGTGGATTTCAGCGGCATTCTGTCTGCTCATTACGTTCTGCAGCGCGCTTTTGGCCACTATTCTCATCTTCCAGAACCGCAAAATGGAGAAGAGTGGCGTTATTCCGCGCAAGGGAGAAGCTCAAGATGGGCTGCGGGACAGAGGGGCTGATGGTGTTCCCAAGTATCGATACATCTGGTAGCCAATGAGACCGGGATTGGAGGACAGGCTTTCATTGTGCCGAGGGTAGGGGTTTCAGAGCAAGTTACCGAACGTACGGCAAAAAGGGGAAAACAGAAAAGAGCAAAACGGAACTTTTCTGTGAGGAATCACTGTGATTCGAACACAGGACCTTGCGATTTGCAATCGCATGCTCTAAACCACTGAGCCATGACTCCTTCGATCTGTGTCGGGGTTCGGAAGCAGAAGTTGGATGATGTCGAATATATGCTTCGTATGACTCAGAGCTGAGGGGGGTTTTGAAGATGGTTGAAGAGAACCAGTTGACCTTGGGAAGCAGGAGGGTGACCTGAATCGCGGACTTGCCGTTGTCACTTCAAGGGGAAGGGTCGACGGGAAAGCACTCTGTCCGGAAGCAGAATTCCTCTTTGTCGCATGTGTTGAGCAGGTGCTACTCAAACGAAGTACTATTAAATATTTCCTGTGAATCTCGTCAGATGGATCAAAATTCTTCCCAAGCAGTGGCACGTTCATCACTCCTGTTTGACACGCGAGCGACGTTAATCAGGCTCTGGTATGAGTAGCGAAGGACTTCAGAGGTTTGGTGAGGTGAGAGTGAGGTATGTTTCGAAGACAGCCTGAACTTGCCAGACCTTTATTCTGAAACAGGCATTCCTCCTTCCTAGATCGGACTTCTATCGGGTCCGATGCTTATAACCAAGTGATTTTCCAACTGATCATTTGGCTTATATAATCTCTTCCATAAAAATGCACATTCCTACTACGTTCTAGGCAGGGTCTCTTCTGTCCAACCTAGCAGTGGTACCACATGGTGATGTTCCACTCTGAGTTCCGCACTCTACGCCGTCATTCCTGGCTACGCTCAAGTTCACATGGAGAAGTTGCCTGAGAGCTTGACCAGGAGTCCTCGATGGGTTTTATTGACAATGTACAGAAGCGCTCAACTCGTCGTGTAGTCCGTCGAGGACTGCGCTGGGACTACGAACAACAAAGCTGATGGGTGTCGAAGGGCACGCTCTAGTTGTCGTCAGGTTGCAAGCCAGTCCCCGCCGTCGGCATCTTCCTGTGTACCGCCGTTCCTGGAAACCTTGAGTCGGTGGAGAGCCGACATACTGTGTAGGTTTCGCTTCAATCTCGTGTCTGTAGCAACGACGAAGTCCAGCCACAGGGCACTTTGAACCTGACTACCACGAGGATGTTTGGTCAGACTGCAGCGTATAAGGCGCTCATGGTCGATAGCACCAAAGTCGCTATGGACTCACGCTCTATAGGGCTCGAGCTTCAACACCATGCCGAGACAGCTGATAAGCACGCTCTTACAGGCCTCAGCCTTGTACGCCGGCATCGTCATCAGCACTCAGTGTCCCATAGGATATGCTCCTGTTTCCAATGGCACGAATGTCCAAGGCACTACGGGTAGCAAGGCCATTGCATGGGTCGATTGTCCCACCAATGGGTCACCTCGACTACAATGCGGCATGCTGGATGTGCCCATCGACTACACAGACCTCTCACTAGGCACGCTACAGATGCCTGTGGTGCGCGTGCCAGCCAACGCTTCTAATCCGCGCAACCAGTCCGTCATCGTCAATCCAGGAGGCCCGGGCGGGAGTGGAATCCAAAGCTTTGCTGGTGGCAGCGGCGATAACATTCAAGCCTACGTCGGCACAGACTTCGATTTGATCTCCTTCGACCCGCGAGGTGTCGGACTCAATGCGGCGTATCTGTGTCCAGACAAGCAAGCTATCCAAATGGCGGCGCAAAACATTAGCGATATCGACACCGACGACCTTGGCGACTTTGACACCACTCTTCTACCTTCACAGAATGACAGTGCGCTGCCAGAAACTCCGGAGTGGTTTCAAGAGCAATTCGATGCGTACAAGGCATTTGCTGAAGTCTGCGCTGACGATACCTACAATCTTGCGGGTCAGCTCGTTGGTACCGCGTTTGTAGCCAGAGATGTCGATCTGCTCGCGAGGAGTTTGGGCCAGGATGAACTGATCAGGTACTATGGCTTCTCATACGGCACTCTCTTGGGAGCAACAATTGGTGCAATGTTTCCGGACCGTATCGAGCGCATGGTACTCGACGGCAACATCAATCCCTCGGACTACTACTACGGCCTTGGCGATGAAGCAGTCTCGGACTTCGACCCAGCCCTGGAATACTTCTTCAACGCCTGCGCCGAAGCCGGCCATGAACACTGCGAGCTCGCTCAGGAGGGTTTATCTGGTCAACAGCTACTAAACCAATACTGGACATTCTACAACAGCGTCCGCACAGGCAATACGACAACCCACGACGAGGACAAACAGCCCGTCGAGTACGGTTCCATCATGTCGATAATGCAAAAGATGACATTCGAAGGTAAAGCCTTGTACAAGGAAGGTGCGAAACAGCTCGCGATCTACTACAACAACCGCGACAACACAACTAACGCCGCCGCACGAAAGCAAAAACGTGACACTCCGTTCAACCCCATGAACGCCCAAAGCAGCGACGATGCTAACACCAATCTCCTCGACGCAGTCACCTGCGGCGATGGTATCCGCCTGAACGCGACCAACGGCGAAAGCTTCCGCGAATACATGGACGCCTTCAAGACGCACAGCAAGTATGGCTTCGAAACCATCCTCAGCTTGGCGTATAGCTGCGGTCCCTGGAACATCAGCGCGAAAGAACGACCACAGAAACCCTTCACCAACATCACCACGAAGAACCCGATCCTGTTCGTGCAAGGGTTCCACGATCCCGTGACACCGTCGATCTCTGCTAAGAACTCCAGCGCAGGCTTTGTAGGCAGCGCAATCGCCTTTCACAACGGCACTGGGCATTGTGCAGGACGCGACCCGTCCAAAGACCTCAACACCAAGATTGCCGCATACTTCAACACTGGGGAGATTCCGGCGAATGTCAGCGACGTGAGCCTGCCGGATAGCCTGCCTTTCACGGACGCAACACACAACAAGAGACACTTGTCCTATGCGCTAGAGGACGCCGAAGACAAAGCAGTAACACCAGGAGCTCAGCGCTTCCAGCAGCGAATGGCAGGCCTCGATCGCCGCGGCCTTCCAAAGCGTGAGGTGGAGCAGGCACCATATCCAGAGATGCTGAGGAACGCGAAGCGCGACGTCTATGAGGCTCTGTTGCAGAGGAATGAGATGATGAAGCGGGCTGGAGAAGAGACGACCACAACAGCATCAGACATCATGACGATACCGACTATGACGATGAGCTTCTCCTTTGACGTCCCCACGACGTGCACGCCGATCGCCAGCTCGAGCTCGAGCTCGACCTCGACGGCGGTCAGCGGGCAGGGGCAGAGCGGCGCTGCTGCTCCGAGGGTGTTTGGTTGGTCGCTGTTGAGCGGGATTGTGCTATTGCTGTTGGGCGTCATGCTGTGAGAGTCTAGGTCTACGTGGTAGCGAGCCGGCTGGCTTCAGCGGATTTTTCATTTACATTTGTGTATGACTATACCAATACATTTCCAGATCAATGCTATCATAACCTGCGTCCTTTGCATGCTCTAAAGGTCTTTCATGTCAGACCGCCGTCTCTACCCACGTTGCCGATGTAGCACGCTATCTGAGTCTGTAGATCAGAAGCTTCCGTTCGAGCCCGACCGCATCCCATTGAGCAACACCCCACCATTCTGCAACGGACTCGCTCTCCCGTTCTCACTGCCATTCACCAGGCTGGCACCACCGCCACCTTGCATACTAGCAGTCACTTCATCGAGCAATCCAGCACAAGCGGCCACAAACCCCAGATACGGCACACTCGGCTTCAACACCCGACTCAAAAATTCCGGATGGAACTGCACACCCACATACCACGGATGGTCCTGCAATTCTACTATCTCCATCCGCTCGCCTTTGTCGTCCTTGCCTATGAAATTCAGCCCCGCGGCGCTCAGTTGCTCGATGTACGCTGGGTTGACCTCGTAGCGATGCCTGTGGCGCTCCAGAACCTCGGGCGCGTTGTTGTAGAGTTTGCGGAGTTTCGACCATTCGGAGCCCTGTTGGAAGAGGGTGGGTCGGATGCCGAGACGCATGTTGCCGCCCATTGTGTTCTTGTCGATTTCGGGCATGTAGATGATCATGGGATGTGGGGTTTCGGCTTCTAGCTCGACGCTGTTCGCACCGGCCATGCCGCAGACATTGCGGGCGTACTCGATGACGGCGAGCTGCATGCCCAGGCAAATTCCCAAGTAGGGTTTCTTGGCTGTGCGTGCGTAGGTGGCAGCCGCGATCATGCCCTCTGTGCCTCGTTGCCCAAACCCACCCGGGACGAGGACGCCGTCCGCAGTGCGAACCTGATGCCAGGATTTGTAGTATGCGTCGGTGTTCTGCTGCTCGAGTTCGGATGCGTCGACCCAGATGAGGTTGAGTTTGCGGCCAACAGCCATGGCGCTGTGTTCAAGGGATTTGATCACAGAGAGGTAGGAGTCGTGTAGGTTGGTGTATTTGCCGACGAGGGCGATGGTGACTTTTTCGTCCTCGAGGAAGCGGTCTTGGGATGTGGTGAGGGTTTTCCATTCGTGCCAGATTGACTGGCCTTTCGTGACGAGAGAGGGGGAGATGGTGGATTGGTCGATGTTGAGGCGGGATTTGAGCTCGTTGACGAAGCCTTGCTTTTCGAGGAGGAGGGGAACGTGGTAGGTCGAGTTGACGTCGTGGACGGCGATGACCTGTTGGGGGTCGACCTCGCAGAACATGGCCACTTTGTTCTTGGTGGAGTCTTCTAGGGGTTGTATGCATCGGCAAGCGATGAGGTCTGGCTGTAGACCTGCTGATCGGGCGTCTCTGATGGCCGCTTGGGTCGGCTTTGTCTTCTGCTCGCCGCTGACGACGGGTATCAACGAGACGTGAATCTGACAGAAATTGTTCTTTCCAGCTCTTCTTCGCAGTTGCCGCATTGCTTCAATGAAGGGCGCGCTCTCGATGTCACCGACTGTGCCTCCAAGCTCGATTATGCAGACATCCGGCTCTTCGTTTGTGTCGTCGACGCATGTCCTGGCAACCCTATCGATCCAGTCTTGAATTGCATTTGTGAGATGCGGCACGATCTGCACTGTCTTGCCTAGGTAGTCGCCCCTGCGCTCCCGGTCGATGACGTGCTGGTACATTCTGCCCGTCGTTATGCTGTTGTCGCGCCTCAACGTGATGTTGAGATAGCGCTCGTAGTTGCCGAGATCGAGGTCGACTTCGCCGCCGTCGTCCAGCACGAAGCACTCTCCATGCCTGTCGCTGTTAGAGCCGAATCAAATCGCTCTGGTAGGTTCCATACTCAGTGGGCGCCATAGTCCCGGCATCGACATTCATGTACGGGTCGATCTTGATCGAAGTCACCTTCATGCCAATCGTTTTGAGTAGCAGGCCGGTCGAAGAGGCTATGGACTTGTCAGCACAACCACGTCTGTATGCCGGGCACATGCATACCGATGACGCCCTTCCCGATGCCTGATATGACACCACCACTGACCAACACATATTTCATGTTTACGGTCAAAAATTTGGCTTGAAGACTCGAGAAAACCCGCCGAACGAATGTGAAACCTCTTTGGCTTCTGGGACGGGCCTACAATAAAGAGCAAGAGAGATCCTAGAGCCGGGATGTATAACAAGCCGTCGTCACTGCCTCACGCACAGCGTGAGTAGCAAGAGGGAAGTCGACAATGCCATCGGTGAAGACTCGTACAAATCTCTGTCACCGCCAAGAAAACCCCCACCAAAACGCGCTGAGACGCGTCGTTTAACGGGAACGTGGGCACACGAGCATGTGATTGACTTTTGATTTGGCTAGTATCAAACAACAACCGCAAGCCAGAAGCAATCGCCCATCAGGCCGCAGTGCTTGCTAAACCCACTGCAGCCATGCTTCCCGACCCGAGCGCCATGCTGTTAGTCACACGAGCTTCGTCCCAGTTGTACATGTTCATATCATGATGCGTGAAGGGTACCGATCGACATGAATCATCCCTCGTCAGATCAGCAGCCTAGAGCCATCCAGATCACTGAGTCTGGCTCTCCACAAAGTCCAGAGCATTCTCCATGCTCTCGACACGAATCGCACTGACGTTGTTGGCGAACGTCACGCCGTAGCACTTCTCTGCCACCCGCAACATCTCCGGTCGGAAAGTGGTACAGATGAATTGGCCGCCGGATGGGTCTTCTTCACCATCTTCAGACTCCTCGTTGCCCTTCTCAGCGAGATAGTGAAGATGCTCCGCTACAGCTGTGCGATACTGAGCGTCCAGGTTGGCGTCGATCTCGTCGAAGATGTAGAAAGGAGCCGGGTCGGTAGCCTGAATGGCAAAAATCAAGGCAAGAGAGCATAAACCTGGATCAAGTCAGTCTTGCAATTATGTTAGAGACGAGTGGACTTACTCTTCTGCCCGCCACTCAACTGCTGTATTCGCTGCTGATCATCGTGCTTGCTGTTGAAACTGACAGAGATGTCCACGCCCCGGTAGTTCTCAATACCTTTCTTATTCCTCGGACGCTCGTCCTCGGATTCGTCCTCGTTCTCTCGTACATCGCGATCTCTGATGATCTTGAGACGACCGTAGCCGGCCGGAACCAGCTTTTTGAACACTTCCGAAAATGCCTTCGAGACTTGTTTGAAGGTGCGCTCGATAGCCTCGTCTTTGCGCTGGTCGAGCGATTCGATGAGACGCTGAATAGACTCCTTGCCTTTGTTCAGTTCTTCACGTCGCTGCTCCAGCTCCTCTCGTGCCTTCTGTGATTTGCGATAGTGCTCGTAGGCATGCTTGTTGACCGATGTGTACTTCTTCAACGAGTCTTTGACTTTCTGTAGTCGCTTGACAATCTTGTCAGATTCAGTCCGCTTGTACTTGGCCTTCATTTCCTCAGGAACAGCACCGAGGTCACGAATGTTTTCCGCGACGTCTTGCCGGGCGGCAATCAACGTTGCCCGCTTCTGCACTGCTTTCTCGAGTCGTCGCTGGGCTTTGTCGATCGACTTCTGCAGCTCCTCCTGCGCTCGTCGGGTCTCGGCAGCCTGGGCTTCGAGCTCCGCAACCTGCGTAGACTTCGTTTCAATCGAATCCTCGAGTTGCTTGAGTTGCTGAACAATGCTATCGAAGTCCGCATTGAGCCGCTCCATTTCACGCTCACGCGACTGGAGAGTTGTCGACGGTGAGCCCTCGTCATCTTCGTAGGCCTCCAGAGCCGCAAGTCGAGGTCTGAGACTGCTGTTCAATCTCAGCTCGATTTCAAGTTTCTGCGCTTCGACTTCTGCTCTGGCCGATGCAAGCTGATTGTACTCTTGCCGTAGCTTTTGCACGCTGGTCGTTGCTTTCTCGAGCTGAGCTTCTTCTGCTTGGGTCAATGCCTTCTTGAACTCTGAGTTCTTTTCAGCCCCGAAGACGGTCTGCTGTTGCTCCAACTCATTCATGCGGGCAGCGATGGTCTCTGCCTGCTTGTTCTTGGACTCTAGATCGTTCTTTAATCGGCCGAGCAACTCGGTCTTAGAAGCGATATCCTGCCGGAACTGCTTGACATTGCCCTCGGTCTTCTTTTGCTCGCGCTCAAGCTTCTGTACCTCACCCACAGCGTTCGTGATCCGCTGACTCAGTCGCTCGATGTTGTCTCTGGTTGTGCGAAGCTCTTCCTCGGCTGCCTCGAACTCTGCACGAGCAGCATTGACGATTTGTACAGTCTTCAGACGTGAGTGTCGTTGGTCATGGTAGCCACCTGTCAGTGCGCCCTTCTTGTCCGAGCGATCACCCTCAGGAGTCACCGCGGTCAGGCCATGAGTTCGTGCGTATTGTGAGGCAACGCTAAGATTTTGTGCCACAATGGCTCTGCCAAAGACTTGATTTACAGCTTTCTCGTACTTCCGGTCGAACTGAATCAGCTCCGTCAATGGCCTCGCATCTTGTGCCTGTGGGAAGTTGACTGCCTTTGGGTGAAGACGATTGAGCGGCATGAATGTGATGCGGCCTGCTCGTTCTCTGTTCAGGATCTCCATGCACTTGCTCGCAGTCTCATCTGTGTCAACCACATAGTGAAAGATAGAATTGCCGGCCACCGCTTCGACCGCAGTGTGATGCTCCGGCACGGTGATCAGCTCGGCTAGTGTGCCAAAGCAGCCGGTGAGATTATGTTGGCGCTTGATACGACGCACAGCATCCAGTCCCTTAGACGTGTTGTGGTCCATCATGTGCGATAACGCACGCTCGTGCTGACGCAATTTCTCCCTACTCGCACTGAGTGTCGATTCGAGCGAAGCATCGGTACGCCAGAGTCGCTTTCGTTCGTCCATCAGATTATCGCGTTCTTGAATCTTGGTCTGAATTTGCTTCTCGAATGTGTTGCCTCCTTCGTCAATCTGAGTCTTCATCTGCTTGATGTCATTCTCGGCTTTCTCGATGTCATTTTCGATTGCGGCAATATTCTCGGTCGTTGTGAGCTTGGTCGACCTGAACGAACTATAGGCCTCGAAGCTCTCATCGATTTGTTTCTGCAGCCACGCATCGCGCTCAGCCTTCGATTTGAAGCGAGCGTTTCGGCCCTGTTTGCCGTATAATCGCTGCTGAGTAGCCTCGTCCTCATCGAGCCGTGCCTTCACAGCCTTCTCTTTCTTGGACTCAGCATCGAACTTTGGGGTGATCTTGGCAAGATCTTGTTCTGCCTGCTTGATCTGGGCCTTTAAAGACTTTATATCCGTGCTTCGGGCAGCTCTGGCATTCTGTGAGGCGTCACGCGAGTCGCGCATATTTCTGACATCGAGATCGACCTGTGCACGCTCCTTGGCTTTGTCTCGTCTCTCATCTTCGTACTGCTTCTTCTCGATTCTGGCGGTAGAAATTTCCTGCTTCAAGGTCTGAATGTGTTCCAGGATCTCTTGGAGGGCATCTTCACCCTCATCGAACTTGGCGCGTCCTTCATCGGCTCCATCAATGCCTCGGTCGCGATTCTGATCGATGCTGTCGAGTGAATGCTGGATCTCATTTTGCTCTCGAGAGTATAAAGCCCACTCCAGGCCTTTTCTCTCCTTGTCTGCCTCCTGGAATTCGCGCAACTCCTGCTGTTCCTCTTCGAGATCGCTCATCCGATCATTGATTTGCTTGAATATGTCGTCAATTGCCGTCAATTTATTGTTGGTGTCATTGAGAATCTTCATCGACTCTTCCTTCTTAGCCGTGAAGTGCTGTGTTCCTGCGACGCTCTTGAGAAGGCCCAATCGCTCAGAATCTTTCATGTTGGTCAAGCGCGTGATGCGACCTTGTGGCACAATGTAGTAGGGATTCTGACGAGAGAAGCCGGCAGTTTCAAGCATCTGCATGACTTCGCCTTTTGTGGTGTTCTTGCGATTGACAGTGTATTCGTCCTTCTTCATGCCGATGGTGCGGCGCAAAATAAGCTCATCGTCGTTCGTCTGAAAGCGCTGACCGCATTGTGTGAAGACTAGTTCCACATACGCAGACATGATTGCTGAGCCATGACCTTCGTGAAGAAGGGCTTGTCGGTGCTCGCGATCCATATTTTGGTAGTCATCATTGAGAACAAATCGAATGGCGGCAAAGAAGTTACTCTTTCCAGAGCCATTGCGACCGACGACAACATTCAGCTTCGGCGAGAAAGGGTCGACCACAGTCTGGTTCTTGTAACTGCAGTTCTGTTAGCGGACTGGTGGGGCACGTCAAGTCAGGGTGCACACCTTTTGAAACCCTGGATTGTGATCTGCTTGATGTACATCTTGTCGACGGGGCTCAAGTATCTGGAGGACCTTGGACACCGAATTCCTGGTGCAAGGTTGACCTGCGTCGAGATATTGGGATGACTTCAACCAAGACGCGACACGCGCGGGCAGTCGCGTCCCAATCGGGTCAAATTTGGGGCAAGAGAAAATCCGCTCGCCAAGACATTTTTGTCTCGACCGAAGACAGCATCACTTGCCACTGTACCCATATTCTAGACTATTGTATTCTCCATACTTGGCCAGGCGCCCTCTGGCGACGCTCTAGTATCTGCAACATGGCCTCAAATACTGACAGCGTCGCCGACGGCGTAGGTCCCACGCACACATATGTGCCTAATCAAGGCTACGTAAATGACCAGCGTGCTGCTCAAGGTATGGTGCTACCAGGCGACGAGCAGGATCAGGCCCCAGTGGAGGAAGAGGATGATGATTACGAAGACATTCTGGACGAGCAGGATGACGAGGACTTGATGACTGCTAACCCTTCAGATCTAACCAAGTCTTACAACAGACAGAGAAGGTTGAACGAAGCCATTGGTTCGGGTGTGCCTGCGTCACAGTATCCCAAAGCGAACCCGCAATCGTCTGGAGGAGGTAAAGACGACCAAATGAATGTGCTAAACAAGCACGCGGCAAAATTAAGGCTGGAAGACAAGTATTCAGGGACCTATCACGGCAAGGGCGCCGACAAAAGCGAACGCGCCACGTCAGAACAAGTGCTCGACCCACGAACGCGCATGATTCTCCTGCAAATGATCAATCGAAACATCGTCTCTGAGATCAACGGCGTCATCTCGACAGGCAAGGAAGCAAATGTCTACCACGCCATGTCCCTGAACGAAGCTCTCGAAGAAACCCATCGAGCAATCAAAGTCTACAAGACGTCCATCCTCGTTTTCAAAGACCGCGAAAAGTATGTTGCCGGTGAGTACCGCTTCCGTCACGGCTTCAACAAATCCAGCAATCGCGCAATAGTCAAGGTCTGGGCTGAGAAGGAGATGCGAAACCTCAAACGAATTCACGCTGCAGGCATCCCATCACCCGAACCGCTCTACCTCCGTTTACACGTCCTAGCAATGTCATTCCTCGGCGATAGCAAAGGCATCGCCTCCCCGCGGCTGAAGGATGTGGAGTTCGTGGACGGCGACCCCATCCCACGCTGGCGAGCAATCTACATCACGGTCCTGGCGTACATGCGACTCATGTACCACGTCTGCCACCTAATCCACGCCGATCTGTCCGAATACAACATCCTCTACCACGACAACAAACCATATATAATTGACGTCTCCCAGTCCGTTGAGCACGATCACCCACGCTCCCTCGATTTCCTGCGGATGGACATCAAGAATGTAAACGACTTCTTCAAACGAAAAACCGTGTTTGTGCTCTCCGACCGCGCCGTCTACGACTTTATTCTTCAACCATCGCCATCCTCCCATGACCAGTCTACTGTAGAGAAGGAAATCAACAATATCATGTCCACACGTAAGGAGACAGATCTAGAGGAGAGCGAAGTCGACAACGCCGTTTTCCGACAACAGTACATCCCACAAACGCTGAACGAAGTCTACGACGCGGAGCGCGACGCCGATATGGCTGCTACTTCCGGTCGGAATACCCTAGTATACAAAGACCTCTTGGCCAGCAAGGACGAGATCCAGCGATCCACCACCGCCAAGGAACAAGATTCGGAAGACCAGGCCTCCGTCGCGTCAAACAACGACTCAGACAATGATTCCGAAGAAGAAGGCAGTGGCGGCGCAAACCTAGAAAATTCCTCCAACGCTTCCGACGACGAGCCGCACCAGCCACGTGGCAAGCGCTTCCAGTCCAAAGAAGACAAGAAAGCACACAAGCAAGCCGTGAAAGAGGAGAAGCGCGAAAAGCGGATGACCAAGATGCCCAAGAACGTTAAGAAGAAGCTCGTCGCCCAGAAGAGTCGGAGTAAACGGTAGTCATTGCATATTCCAGGGGAAGGATGTTAAAGTTCGCCCCGTCAAGTAGCAGAGGATGCTAGCTTGGCATGGCAATAGTTGACGAACTTCTCGAGTCGTCTGGAGAGAAGAGGAGGAAAGATGTGGAAGAGTATCGAGCAACACAACCTACTTATACTTTCTCATCAAGGTGAAAATTGGGCTAGCTCCGGATCCATCATTCGGCTTCCATCGGGAGGTATTCACTGCTGGATGCAATTCACAGGCCTACTGTTGCCTGTCGCATCGAAGTCGAGTGAAGGGGCATCTTATCACGAAATTTCGAAGGTGAGGTGAACTTGAAGGACTTCTAAGTCTGCCACTGCACTCGTCGACTCCATCAAGCGAGCGCGCGAAGTTGACCGGGAAAGAGTGGTGGTTGGCTGGACTCGGGTTCGATGATGAGATTCTCAACCAAATTACACTTGATATGAATGCGTTGTCCTTCCTGACGGAGTGCCTGCCTACAATGGGAAAGTGGCTGTCGAGTCGATGGTCATGCGGCTTGCTGCATAACCTCTCTTGGCAAACCACTCATCTAGATATGCAGGGATTCTGCCAAGTTGATCTACGTCCATGAATTATCAAAGAGAGCACTGAGAACCTGTTGAGTAGCCGAGACATATTATTCCTGCACTGCTAATGAGGCTCGTCATATTGTGCGGGAGGACCCTGGCATTGTGTACATATTCTGGCGAGGCTGAGTATATCACGACCTAGCCGCCTCACCATCCGCTCTGACTCGTCTCAACGCCGCTTCCACAACACCTCTCTCCAGCTCCGGCACACTTAGCCAACCCTCCTCTTCCTTTCCCTCCCTGACTTGATCCACCCGCCTCACATCCCACCTTGCTGGCCCTAGATGCAGACCCTCCCAAATGTCGCTTGGCAAGAAGTCGCCCAGCTCTTCCCTGAACATCTGCCTCTCGCCCAGATCCTTCTCGTACAAATTATCCAGCGTCCGCTGGCTGTCCTCCACAATGCGCTCCATTTGCTTCTTGACGGACCGCCGACGTGCTGCCTCGATGATGAGGCGGTCGTATGCGTGCAGAAAATTCGTGTACGTGGCTTCTAGATCCTCCATGCCCGCGATGCCATCGTTGAGAGACTCGCGGGAGGCGGCCCATCGCTGCGCAGCGGCGTTGCTAGCCGCTACAAAGCCGCTCAGCTTCGCGCCTAGAGTTTCAAGGCGGCGGAACGCCTCCACAGACACGTCCCTGTGGGTGCGCTCATGGCGGCGGCGCCAGTGTAGAATCTCATTGAGGTGGGCGTCCATGTCATCAGCTTGGCCGGCAATCTCCAAGACAACGTCGTCGACTTCAGCAGCGTCATTCTGGAGGACAGACAGCATTTCGAGACGCTCTGCGTCATTCATGGGCTCGGTGGGCCCTTCGACCTCGTTGATAACGTCGACGTCAGCTGGGAGATTGCCTGCCTTGTACTTGCGCAAGACAGCGGCGCCTGCGCCCTCAGTATGCTTGATAGCAGTTGCGCAGAGGTCGAAGTGCTTGACCAGTGACTCCAGTGATTGGGCCATCGAGTGAGCGTAAGACTCGAGCTGTCGAAGGAGGTGAGTGAGGTCTGGAGGTACATAGTCGTCGGATATGGATGTGGAAGTATCTTGTCTATCTGTAAGGAGGTCGTTGATGATCTGAAGATCGTCTTCGAGATTGCGGATGGAGGCAGTGGTCTCTTCCTGGTTGTCCTGGACGGTGTCAATGACTTCTTTCATGGCATCGCGGATCTGCTCCGCGGGCGACTCCTCGACGAAGTCGTAGAGAGTGTCTTTTGGGGCGACCGCGGAGGTCTGATCTTCAGACGGTGTGGGAGGTGGCTTGAAAGCATCCTCTATTCTCGTGCTTTTGAGACGCTGAATAGTGTGCTCAAGACTCTTGCCCGCAGCGTCCAGTTCTTGTATCAAAGCCTGGAACTCGCCCTGGACAGCATTTGCGGAGCCTTCAAGTTCATACTGTATGCCCCGCAAGATCTTCAATTGGGACTGTAGACTCCTGCGGAGGTACGTAGTGCGGGCGATCAACGCGGCAGTGGACTCGATAGCGGAGCGGGCCTCCGCAAGGACAGTAGTTGCACGATGGACATGGTGGATACTGGAGAGGGAGCGCTTCGCTGCGACAAGGTACGATATCAGGGTATCGATGGTGACAGGACCTGCCTGTTGCCCCGACTGAGACGGCGACGATGCATTTGATGCACGATTGAGTGACGCAGTAGACACTGGTAGCGACATGTTCTGGTCGGGAGGCCTTCACACATTTCCGGTGCTTTCTAATTCATCGGAAAGCACGCATGGGCCAGTCTGGCACTTGCCTGTTCAAGGACGGGGCACTGGACTGAAATGGCAAACACCAACAAAGATGTCATTTCGCCCCGTCGCACGCCATTGCTCCAAGCATCGCGCCACCGGCTATCGGTGAAAACTGCACCAATTGAAATCTTGCAGAAGTGGGAAAGACCCCGCTCCGATAAGCGGTATTAACTGCCTTGCCCCAACTTGCTCTCTCACCTCTCTTGCGACCATCCCATACCAGCATTCAGGCTACACCAGTTGCTACTACCCCTACTGCTGACATCTCGATCGCCTTCTTGCACCATAGCGACTCGACCTTGCGAATCTGACCCCCTGAGCCTCTCACACCGCCTCTCGTCCGCAGACTGGCCTCTTTATCTGCGCTCACGACACCCACGCTTCACATCCCCCACACCACTGTGTGCGATGCGGCTGTCATATGCCCATTTCGTATGTTGTTGAGATAGTCGAGATACTGTGTAACCATGAACGCCGCGTTCAGATCACTCGAGGTGGAAGAATGGCAGGACGCACGCGGCTGGGACGAGAGCCCAAGGAAGAGAATGCGGTCAAATTCCAACGGTGACCATGTACATTCACACATTCACTCGTCCGAAGATCACGAGCACGAGCATGACAACGATGTGGCTCGACACAAGATCATGGTCTCTGCCTCTACCGCCAAAATGGCCTCAAATGCCGTCGCACCCTTCCTCGCGAAGCACGTACCGACTCAGTATGCCCCAATTGGCGGTGTCAACCAGAAACAGATCGAAGTCGAGAAGACTGTGGACCCCAACTCGAAGTATTGCTACCGTCATCGTCCTGATATGCTCTGTCGAAAGCAGGCCGACGAGCCAACCATGGAGGCTCTTCAGAAAGACCTAGAAGCAATGCCGGAGGAAGATCGCCAGGGTATCGTCCAGACCTGGTCGCTGTTCTCTGCTGCTCCTGCCAAGCACAGAAAGCTTATGCTGCAAGGCATTCTTGCGCAATGCTGCTTCCCTCAGCTCTCATACCTCTCGGCTAACGTCCGCGAACTGATTCGCATCGACTTCTTGGCTGCTCTCCCAGCTGAGGTATCGTTTCGGATCTTGTCGTTCCTCGACACGACTTCACTGTGCAAGGCTGCTCAGGTCTCTTCGAAATGGCGTCAATTGGCTGATGACGATGTCGTGTGGCACCACATGTGTGAGCAGCACATTGATCGGAAATGTACCAAGTGCGGATGGGGTCTGCCATTGCTGGACAGGAAACGACTACGTGCCACCAAACGACAGATGCAGCTACGAGCTGCCGGCAGGGGTCTCAACGAATGGTCGCCCGCAATCACACCCATCCCAGAGGAAGACCTCCCGCTGGACGCAGTAACGGATCTCGAGAAGACGTCTGATGGCAGATTGTCGCCAATTTCTGTCCGCCAAAAATCAAGTGCAGGAGATGTCGATTATTTCAAGAAGACAAGGCCATGGAAAGATGTTTACAAAGACCGCTTCAAGGTCGGAACCAACTGGAAATATGGTCGCTGTAATATCAAAGTCCTCCGTGGGCACAGCAATGGCGTCATGGCCCTGCAATTTGTCGACAACATTCTCGCCACAGGCTCTTATGACTGCACAATCAAGATCTGGGATCTGGACAACGGTGAAGTGATCCGGACCTTGACTGGTCACCGATCCGGCATTCGCTGTCTACAAATTGACGACACAAAGCTGATCTCAGGAAGTCTGGACAAGACCCTCAAGGTCTGGAACTGGCGTACTGGAGAATGCCTCGCAACCCACTACGGTCATACTGAAGGTGTCATCAGTCTTCACTTCGATCAGAAGCTTGTCGCGTCTGGCTCGGCAGACCACACAGTTCGTGTCTGGAACTTTAAGGACAAAGAAGTCTCCATATTACGCGGTCACACTGACTGGGTCAACTCAGTCCACATTAACTCGGCATCACGGACGCTCTTCACCGCTTCTGACGACTGCACGGTTAATTTGTGGGACTTGGACACACACAGAATCATTCGGACCTACGAAGGTCACGTGGGACATGTCCAGCAGGTCATACCACTGCCTCCTGAATTTGTGGCCGATGATCCTGTCGACGATCACATTTCGACCGACAGCAGATCCTTCGACGATGGTCATGAGGAGCAGCCAGAACTTCGCCGCACTGCCTCGGTCGAGTCGTATGCTGCTCTGTTTCCCAGCCAGCCAGATCGGCCGCTACCGCCACGCTATATCCTGACCTCAGCGCTCGACAACACAATCCGCCTGTGGGAGACTTCTTCTGGTCGATGTGTTCGCACCTACTTTGGCCATGTAGAAGGCGTCTGGACAATCGCTGCAGATACATTACGCATCGTGTCTGGCTCGCATGACAGGACTGTCAAAGTCTGGGACCCGAGAAGTGGTAAAGCCGAGAAAACATTTGTCGGACATGCTGGCCCAGTGACCTGCATCGGTCTAAGTGACGGGAGAATATGTTCAGGAGGAGAAGATGGCGAGGTCAGAGTGTATGACTTTGCAGCTTGATGCCAGGTCACTGCGTTGTTTCTTGCATTCATTTGAGCGTTCAGAGCCTCTTGCATGGTGTTCTGGACCATTTCGGGTATGGAATGGGACATGGAAAGACAAAATTGTTATATGGAAGGCTCGGGCCAATGTCACTTTATAGTCAAATCGTATTGAGATACTGAACTATCTGTTGTCTCGATCAACCTGAACTCGCTGCAGGATGAGACGCAAGACACGTCAGAGAGGCTCATAAGTTCGTGATAGACCTGACAAAACTCCTCGTAATGCCAAGGTAGCCGGAAACGTCATCCGGTCCGCTAGGAGCCCGGGACCTTTGAGCTTGCCGACAACTTTCTTCGTTGAGCTCCCAATCCACGGAATATTCCAGCACCCAGTCCCTTCTCACGCTGCCCGACACCATGGCTCGCGCACGAGTGCTCTACCACGTATGATCGCTCCTCGACCCATGTGAAGGCCGACCGCTAATCTCATCTCCCTACAGTCACGCACTCTTGCGACCGCAGCTATTGGGACCTCCGCGTTTGCGCTCTATCCCAGACAGACGGCATGGGCCGAGTCACCTGCTGACGATGTACGTACAGCCTTGCTGAGGCCTCAGAGGCCCCTCCATACATTCCGTTCTGCAGGTTCGCTGACAGACGACCCACAGATCCCCGACCGCAAACCAATCTACCCAACAGCCTCTCCCTACGTAACGCGCAAGCTCACCACCAAACCAACCGCCTCAGAACCAACAATACAACTCGCGCCCGGCGAGACTACACAAAATTCCCCACCGCCCGGCCCAACCCCAACCGACCGCCTCGCCTCGCAGATAAAAGTCCTACGCCTACATCTCTACAATGGCAGCTTAGCCACCGAAAACGCCTTCAACGACCTCCTGACCTACGCCTTCCGACAAGAAACCCGCCTCGCAGACACAATCGCCTCCCTGGCCCCTTCACCACAAACGGGCGAAAAGCTCCTCCCCGGCGCCATCTATGTACTAGTAGCGACACTTGCAGGCTCGATTGTCACGCGAAACCGGAATATTTTGCTGAGGGCAACAGTGCCATTGGGAGTGGGTATAGCGGCGGGCTGGGCTCTGATACCCGTGACGATGCGGAACGTTGGGGATCTGGTTTGGGAGTATGAGAAGGAAGTGCCGGTGATTGCGGATTCGCACCTGGCGATCAGGGATGCGGCGTTGCAGGCGTGGAAGGCTACGGTGAGGGAGACGAAGGGCGTGGCGGAGAAGGTGGATAGTGCGACGGACAGGGGACGGCAGGCTCTGGAGGGGTGGGTTGAGAAGGGGAAATGATGCGTGGCAACGAGCAATTTGTTTCTCCCTGGCTGAGCTATCGCGTGCCCTGAGCCAGGAGAAATGACCTAGGTCTATGCGCCGAGGCTGACAGTGCAGGCAGCGAGCAGAGCGGCCTCTCAACCAGGCTTGTGGAACGGAGCTGAGTGTGCTCCCTACAAGAGCGATGGACGAAACGCAGCTCAAGGACAAGCGATCGAGTGCGTTGGCCATGACCAGGTGTCTGTCGCCCAGACGGCACAGCTACAGGCAGCAGGCGCAATGTTACTTCCTGGACCTCCATCGAGATAGGTGGGAGTATAGACCGCTTGCATCACCACACCGGCTCATGTATTTTCTGTCGAGATTTAGCACACACAACATTGACGGAGCACGCCGCGTGCGTGTGTATGTCATGCTTAACAGCAGGACGTATCTCGTATCTCTCGTAAACCATTATGCACGTTACCTTATGTAAACCTTACCTAGAAGCGAGTTGCGCAATAGCCGCGGCTGTGCCCCCAAAAATTCAAAGTTGAAGCCTGAGCTGTGGGAGCACTGAGTCGGTGTTTCTCTTGGGAAGGCGAGTCAGAAGAGATAGAGATCTACAACTTCGGCTACAAGCATGAAACTTATAGACGAGCTGCCAGTTGAGTTGGCAATGCATGCTGATCGCCGCTGTGTAACGATGACTCTACAACCGAGCCTCGCAGCCGGGATGTTCCATAATGTCATGATAATTAATCCCCCAACCCGAGATATTCAATTGAACAAATGTAAGCACAAAATCCATCGAAGAGACTGCCCAGGAGAACTCCCCCGCCCTGAAGACCCTGACTCGCGGTCACGACCTAGCCCACCAATTGGTGTGCCAATGATGTCTATACCGCCCAGGATTATAGGACCTCGCGTAATTTATGCGACGTCTTGTGAACGCCATGGCCACCTTCGCTTGTAGGAATACGGAGGGTAACTACCGGAATCGACGTCGAATGAGTTGATGGATATTGAAAAAGCTTTTGTAAGACATCCGGGCGGTCTGAAGTTGTTCCATCTTTCGTACTTGCCTTCATATCACTGCTCTCATTGCGCTGCAAGAGCGGTCTACTTGGGCAGGAACAGCACAACTCGAAAGACTGGTGCCTGGGTCATGCGATCATGGTGCTCAAGTACTTCTCCTATGGCTCATTGATAGCTGTGCTTTTCGTCGGCTACACACTCTCCGTGCTGTACGAACAATATTCGAAAGAGAAGAGGATTCGGAAGTTGGGTGAAGTCGCGCCAAAATGCAAGACATGGGCTCCCTGGGGTACGTTACCAGTCCAGCAACCATTCCCACAACCCAGATGACTGATGGGAGCACAGGTCTCGATTTCCCATTCTATTCAACAGCAGCCCTTCAGAGAAATGAAGCCGTAGAGTTCTGGACGTACTTGTTCGAAAGCACTGGCGGTATCGCCAAACTGTCATATACCTGCGAACTTCGTCTCCTGTCGTCAGTCCGCGTCATTTTCACCGCCGACCCGGACAACATCAAGGCCATATTGACCACACAGTTCCAGGATTATGGCAAGACAGAGCCCTTCCACGAAGAATGGAAGGACTTCTTGGGCGACAGTATCTTCACCACGGATGGGAAACAATGGTCGGACTCGCGTAATCTGATCAGGCCTATGTTCCAGCGAGAGCGCGTGTCAGATCTGGAACTAGTTGAAGTGCATGTGCAGAAACTCCTCAAGTTCCTTGGGCCTGGTGATGGCAGGCAGCTGCGGCTGGATACGCTCTTCTTCCGCTTCACTCTTGATGCGTCAACACATTTCCTGTACGGAGAGTCTGTAAACAGCTTGGACAATCCGGACTCGGAGTTTGCGACTGCGTTCGATGAGGTGCAGCATGTTCAGGTGTTGGAGGGTAGACTGGGCCCATTCCGGCACTATTATCCCAAGGGTGGTAAGCGGGCGGCTCTGAAGAAGCTCGACAAGTTCATGGATCCCATCATCAGCAATGTGCTGAAGCTTACCCCGGAAGAAATCGAGACGAAGCTATCCAAGTCGGATACCTTCATCCATGCGCTGGCGCGGTTTACCCGCGATAGAAAGGTCATGCGCGATCAGATCATCAGCCTACTGCTCGCTGGACGGGATACTACAGCATGTACGCTCTCATGGCTGTTCCTTGAGCTGTCCCGCAATCCAAAGGTCGTGGAAAGGCTACGGGAAGAAATTCATGAGCACATCGGCACGGATGGAAGGCCTCCAACTTATCAGGAAATCAAAGACATGAAGTATCTCACCTGGGTCATCAACGAGACGCTTCGCCTGTACCCGGTCGTGCCTTTCAACGTGCGTGGTGCGCTGAAGGACACGACACTACCTCGTGGTGGTGGACCTGATGGGAAACAGCCGCTTGGAATCCTGAAGGATACTCCTATTGGGTACAGCACTATCCTGTGAGTGACTTCTATACTTTCTCGTGTCCCCGTTCTGACAACATGCACAGCATGCAACGCCGGCGAGATCTCTACCCACCAATCTCAGAGAGCTTCCCCTACGACCCACTCGACTGGGTTCCAGAGCGATGGGCGACCTGGACACCGAAAGCGTGGCAGTACATTCCTTTCAACGGAGGTCCTCGCATCTGTATCGGGATGAATTTTGCTATGTCTGAGATGGGATACACTGTTGTACGATTGCTGCAGGAGTTCGACACGATTATCGATTATGGCAATACGACCACTGCAAAGTGTGAGATTGTCATAACGCCTGCTGATGGAACGAATGTCGGATTTGTGAAGAGTGCTGTCAAGGCTTAAGTGAGCAGGTTTGTCACAGGGTCTTGCAGGTCGTTGGCTTTTGCATGAGCACAGGAACGCTGTCGGCGGTCATGTTCACGTACCCTGCGAGTTCTGCTCGGTTGGGACATTGACGAGCCTTTTCTGAATATGCAGCATTGCAACGGATAGCATATTGTCACATACCGCATGGAATTTTGTACATGACCAGAATAAAGAAGCCTTCAGATCATGACACGTAGCGAGGACGGTGGTGCTTTCCCAGTGTTTACATAGCGGCATCGAAATGCCAAGAGATGGGCGGCGCCTGCCCGCTGCAGCTGAGACACAGCTGAGCCCGGAACTTTGGGCGGTGTGAACAATTTTGAAGGTCCACGTGTTCACATCCCTTCGTTCCACATTTCTTTGAACACACTGTATCTGGCACAATATCATCGTGTCGTAGAAACAGTCTAGGTGGCTCACGCATCTCTGAAGCATCGGCAGAATATTCGGATCGGCTTGACAGTCTCAAAGATCAGGTACAAGGCTTCTCGGAGTGGCTCAGCAATTTCAGGATGTTGAAAGTTCCTCACCGTGGGGTGAGTACGCCTTGGCTCGACCTTGTATCAATGCACAACGACTGACTCTACCCATAGAAAGGCGTCGCTGCTGCTGGCGCTCCGACAAAGGCTGTCATCCTCGTCGGTGGCCCTTCACGCGGTACACGGTTCAGGCCGCTAAGCCTTGATGTCCCAAAGGCAAGATATCCCACCAGCTTGGTTCGAACTCAACGCTAACCCCTTTGCAGCCGCTGTTCGATGTTGCTGGCCATCCCATCATCTGGCACTGTCTGAAAGCTATTGCCAAGGTCGAAGGTATCAAAGAAGTCATCCTTATCGGCTACTACGACGAGTCCGTCTTCAGAGACTTCATCAAAGACTCATCGCGAGAGTTCAGCCAGTTCAAGGTCACCTATCTTCGCGAGTATCAGTCACTCGGAACAGCCGGTGGTCTCTACCACTTCCGAGATGCCATCCTCAAAGGCAAGCCAGAGCGCTTCTTCGTGCTCAACTCGGACGTGTGCTGCTCGTTCCCACTCGAGCAAATGCTTGAGCTCTTCGAAGAGAAGGACGCCGAAGCAGTTATTCTTGGCACCAGAGTCAGCAACGAGGCCGCCACCAACTTTGGTTGCATCGTCTCTGACGCCCACACCAAGCGAGTTCTGCACTACGTAGAGAAGCCCGAGTCCCAGATCTCCAACCTGATCAACTGCGGCGTCTACCTCTTCGCCACCGAGACCATCTTCCCCTCCATTCGCACCGCCATCAAGCGCAAGACCGAGCGACCTCGCATGATCTCTTACCCATCCTCCGAGAATCTCGAGAGCTCCTTCGTTGCTGACGATGAAGACGGCGAGAAGAACGAAGTACTTCGCCTCGAGCAGGACATCCTCTCGGACCTCGCCGACAGCAACCGCTTCTTCGTCCACGAAACAAAAGACTTCTGGCGACAGATCAAGACCGCCGGCTCCGCTGTCCCAGCCAATGCGCTGTACCTCCAGAAGGCATTCCAACAGCAGTCGCCCGAGATCGCTAAACCCTCCGCAACCATCGTGCCGCCCGTGTTCATCCACCCGACCGCCGAAGTCGACCCGACCGCTAAACTCGGTCCCAACGTTTCCATCGGTCCCAAGGTTATAGTTGGCCCCGGTGTCCGCATCAAGGAGTCTATCGTTCTCGACGACGCTGAGATCAAGCACGATGCCTGCGTCCTGCATTCCATCATCGGCTGGAACAGTCGTGTTGGTGCTTGGGCGCGCGTGGAGGGTACGCCGACACCGGCCAGCTCGCATAACACGAGCATTATCAAGAATGGCGTCAAGGTGCAAGCGATCACGATCTTGGGCAAGGAATGTGGTGTTGGAGATGAAATTCGAGTGCAGAACTGTGTCTGTCTGCCATTCAAGGAGCTAAAGAGGGATGTGGCGAATGAAGTCATTATGTGAGGCCGATCTCACACGGACGACTACGTCTGTGGTGGAAAGGTCTCGAAGCGCGCCTTTCGCAGTGGACCATGCTTTCGGTAAAAGTACTGGGCCAGCAAGCACTCTTTTCAACGATCATACACTCGTCAGTCTTGCTCGAATATTCGTTGTTACCAAAGCAGGACTATGATAGACGAGCGGATTAGACAGAGAAACACAGTACGCTTCAAAGATAGCATTTCTACAATTAATGTTACTGCACTCGTCTACATCTTTTCATATCTTTTATCTGCTGTATTTACAATGTACCGTCATTAGGCCAAGGCAGTACCTAGGTATGCCTCGACCTATCAGACGGCTCGCCGTGTACGTCGGGCACATACAGCAAGCCATTCTAGTGCCTCCCCTGGATGTCACGGGGGGTCGAGTCACCAACAAACTATCTCGAAATACTCGCCCTCCAAACAAGTGGACTACATACCTAGCGACTGCTCTCGCCAACGACCTCCCTTTCTGCAACCGTCGACGTGTCCTTCTTGCTCGGCTGTTGCGCGCCTCTGCCGCCTGCGTTGTGCTTAGACTTATCGACGACCTCCGTGATCTCGTCCACCACTACAACCCCCTCGGCGGCAGCTCCCGCCTCCTCGTCCCTGGCAGTCCCCTCAAGCTGCACCTCATCACTGTACCTCTCCTCGCCCTGTGGCCGCTCGTCGTCAGCCTGAAAACCTTTTCTTGCCCGACGTCTATCAACCCATCGCTTGAACCGCGGAAAGCAGACGACCGAGCCGATACCAACAAGCAAAAAGCTGGCGCAGATCCCACCGCCTATGATCTCGTAGCTATCCCCCGCTTTCTCGACACCCTCCCAAAAGGGCCCGTTCGGGTGAGCGGTGTTGAGAATGAGGGAGAGGAGCTGAATTGTGCCGATAACGAGGGCGCAGAGGACGGTGAGGAGGGTGAGGAGGGTTGAGTAGTAGAGGAAGGAGAGGGGGTCGCGGATTCGGTCGTTGGGAGTCTTGTTATCGGTGTCATTGGGGTCGGTGTTCGTGATGACGGTGGTGGTTGCTGCCACTTCGCCCGCGGATCGACCTGGTGTAGAGGCTTGGGAGGGTGGCGTAGGGCGTGGCACTGTCTCAAGATCGTGCTGACGTGGCTGCTCGATGCTCGTCGTTCCATCACCTTCTTGCCCAGCCACAGCCACAACGTCCCTCCCCCTTGTGCTATTCTTGACCTCCTCCTTGCCGCCACCGCCCATCCCCATCGGCGCAGTATACAATCCCATCATCAATGCCCCATCCATCGTGTCCACAAGACACATTCCCGCCGTGAACAATACCGGAAATACCAATATCAACCACATACTAGTACCCCTCGCGCCCTGTATACTACTGATCCCCAACAGCGCAATCTCACTGCTCGTATCGAACCCCAACCCGAACAGCACGCCCAGTGGATACATCTTCCACGGTCGATCGATCAGCTTGAACATCCTCTTCAAGACCCTGAACAGCACCCCACCGCCCAGCTCCAGCTTGAACGTCGCCTGCGATGCAGCTGACAAAGGCATGTCGATGACCTTTACCATCTGTACGCATAGCTTATAAAGTATGTAGGCATTCATGATGCCTAAGAGTAAGAGAAACGCAGCGGAAACACTCGTCCCAACAATCCCGCCCACGGCCCCAAACCCTCCAAACCTTTTCTCCACACCCGCCGCCGTCGCCGCCACAACGATACTAGTAATGACGACAATAGTGCTATGCCCCAAGCTAAACCACGTCCCCACCGTGACGGGCCGCTGGCCAGAGGCGATGAGGCGCCGAGTCATGAGGTCGATGGCGGAGATGTGGTCGGCGTCGAGGGCGTGGCGGAGGCCGAGACTGTAGGCGAGGGCGGCGGTGCCCAGGAGTTGGTGGGAGGTGCGGGAGAGGGTTAGGGTGAGGGCGGCGATGGCCCACACCAGGAGGTTGATTAGGACGAGGAGGAGGATGATGAGGATGGCGGGGAGGGGGAGGTGGCGGAGGTAGGGTGTACGGTTGTGCAGACTGGAGAGGGAGGCGTGCGTGGTGTCTTTGGCGTGCCGAGCGCGGTGGAGGAGGAGTGGCCGGCGAGAAGATCTTGTCGACAGTGGTAACGGTCCATCCGGGGCTTCATCCTGTGGCGTTGGTGGCGTATTGGGTGGGTTGGGCATGATGGATGGAGGTCTGGATCCAGTCCTCTGTCGTAAGTCTTCCAACTGTGAAGCTCGGGGTCATGCCGCCTCTGGTCTTCCTCTTCCACACAATCGTGTAGTCTGCGTCACTGGTCGAGGCAGTTTGGGAAGCTACCACGGAAACGGATGTACAGCTGCCAAGTCTTTCCACTCGCACACCAGGTCCCAGTCGTTCCTTCCGTCAGTAGTCAAATGAGGCTCACGCACTCAATGTCCTTTCTCTACTAACACCTACCTCAAAGTCCAAGTCGTTGATCGACCGTGAATGGCGTGCTGGGATAGAGCTCACATAGAAGATTTACTCTCCCGAATCTAGACCTTGATCTGCAAGTGGCAGGTGGGGATCACCGAGGGGTACCTCAATGTTTAGATTTCTCCAACAGAGAATGAGGCAAGAACGATGTGGTGGCAGCAGACAATCAAAAATGCAATGGCAAAGTAGGACCACGTCATCAGCACGTCCATGAACATCGAAACAGCTTCACGACCTGTGTGCTGATGGTCAAGGCCCACATCGCCTCGACCTGTGGGCGCTCCTATAAATATAGTCTAGTAACCCATTCCATATCTTTTAACCCTTGAGAAGTAGAATGGCTTGTCGTTCCTCAAGCTGAAGGCCGCCCAATCGTCCGAGAGCTTGTTAAGGCTCCAGAAACCCTTCCACACAAGCTTGGTATTCTTCGACGCCGTTTTGGATTTGGGCGAAGTGGATTTCAAAGACAAATGCATGGTGTATATGTATCTCGGTCCGGCTCCCTCGGTTTCGATATGTACGTCTCCTGGTACGAGGCCGTTTGATTCGTCATGTGCATGCGAGGGAACGATCCGCCAACGTCCGCGGAGTGCGTGCTTCATGATGTTCAGGGCTGAGGGTGGCGGACCAGCATTCGTACCGCTAGCTGTGGACGCGGGTACTGTGAAGGTTAAAGAGCCTCCCTTGGACCGAACGAGGTTCAGATTCTCGGGAGTGAGGTGTGGTATGACCTCAATCGGTTCATGCGTCGTCAGCAGGGAGATGCAAGTCCCGTCGCGAAAGAAGCGTAGGTAACGATAATATGTCACGATGTGAATAGGGTTAGACCATACGTGCGTGGTAGCGGATGCACCTCCTGGTCGAGAGTAGTTCACTGTTGAGATATAGCGCCCGAGAAGCGTATGCGTGGATGTTGCTGGAAGACATCCCGCCAGTCAACGTCTCGGGGAAAGTCGTGCTCCGACAGGGTCGCATATTGACTCGGATTGTCCTCCCCTGCAATGGTGCTGTAGATTAAGTCTCGGCCTTGCACATCAGTGACGAAGTTGTGTTGCTGAGACTTGAAGCCGAAGTTGGAGCCTAGAGCGATATGCTTCCAGATGGAGTTCTCGGTAAAGATGTGATATGCTAGGCTTTTGCACACTGGAGCAAGACGAGCGAGTAAGGCTGGGTCTTTTGAGCCGACGACCTGTAGCATGTACACCAGTAGCTCAGCGGGCAGCTTCTGAATTGGGCATGGAGGCGGTACGTCGCGCTCAATAACAGGTGGAGCGCCTTCAATTGGAATGCCGGCAAAGCTCTCGATGAGTTGTTGAGTCGAGAGGACCTCACCGGCGGCATCTGACGAGTGATGTGCTGGGTTAGGGACTGTGGGTGACGCATTGGATGGATTGGGGTTGGTCTGCTTCCAGCGATGTGAGTAGTGCTTTTCCTTGTATTTCTGGTCGACCTTGGCGTCAAGCTTGTATGCTTTCCGGTAATGAGTTAAGCTATCTCCCAGATTGCCCTGCCCTTCCTTCTGGACAGCCCGTTCGAAATGCTCAAGGGCAGTTTCCGGAGCCTTGTCTGATTGTGCAGTAAACTCGTCCTGGTCGGCATCATCAAGTTGAAGTCTGTCGAGTTTCTCGGTCAGCTTGTTGGACGTGGATTCCGGACCACTGTCAAAGTCCGAGTCGTCCTTGACATCGGCGACCGGGTGGCGAGCTGGTAGGTTGGCTGTCAACAAGTTTGATTTGGCAGTGCTGGTAAGTCTTGCTTTTGAAGGGACAGAAGGAGAGCCGGGCTTGATCTCTGTCTTTCTGGCCTTCGCGTTGACCTCTTCTCGCCATGCTTGGCGAAACTGTTCCAGGTCCGTGGTATCACTCATCTTGGGTACCTCTATGCTTGAGGGTATTGCTGGATCAACGGGCGGAGTTCTCGGCGATATGTACTATACAAATGACACGCTTGGGTCGCAGCTTAGACAGTGTGTCTGTACCCACCAGACATCTAATGTTAGGATCATAGGTAGCGAAACGGAAATGGAGTCATCATGAGGCAGTGACTCGAAGGTGACTGATATGCCTCGGTCTTTGTTTCGCTTTATCTCCGCCAGCATCGGCTAAAACCGCCGCTGAATTTAATGATGGCTTGGTGACGTCTCCGAAACTTTTCAAAGAAATGGCTGCATTTCGTGCTGTTGCAAGGCGCTCCTCACCTCATATCTTTCTCCTTTCTCCTACTGATTACTCGCCATCACGCCTTCAGATACTTAGCGAAGGCGCTTCCAAACCTGACTCACGCGCAGTCACATGTCCAGGGCCTCCCAGTCCGATGCCGCATCTTCACCTGTAGAATCGCCTTCTAGCACATCACAACATGGTCATGAACGATATGACCGAATACAGCTCACGCAATCGGATAAGAACACACTCAATATGTCGGCTGCCGCGGCGGTAGGCCGAGATGAAGACATCACTGCAACACAGCGCATGGTCTCAGCTACATGGGGTAGCGTCCTCACAACTCTCCTAGTCACACCTCTCGACGTCGTCCGTGTTCGGCTCCAGTCACAGTCCTCGACACAGGCACCGGCTCCAACCACATCGTCGAAATTCCACGCCTATGGCTCGAGCTTCAAGCATTGCCGCCCAACCTTGGAATTAGCGCATGCTGTAGAGACGTCTTCTGGGTTGACAACAATGCCCAATTTTGCCTCGCCGGCAACGGCCATGGCCCTGTTCCAGCAGGAGCCATTCCGGCCGACTGTGCCATAGAAGCGTCAGAGAAGAAAGTGTTTCGCTCAACATACGATGGCCTGAAGAAGATCGCCCGACACGAAGGTCCAACCACGTTATGGCGCGGTATGACACCCACCCTCATGATGGCCATCCCCGGCAACGTCATCTACTTCACTGGCTACGACTGGCTCCGCTACAGTCCTGCCAGCCCCATCCGCAAGATCACGAATGACACCTACGCCCCTCTGTTTGCTGGCTCCTCCGCCCGCGTCCTAGCGGGCATCGCCGTCTCACCTCTCGAAATGTTCCGCACACGAATGCAAGCCACCCCAGGCGGCACTACCGGGGTTTTTAAGGAGACGCTACAAGGCCTCTACCGCATGACCCAAACCCAAGGCATCACCTCCCTCTGGCGTGGCCTCGTCCTCACCATGTGGCGCGACGTGCCTTTCTCTGCCATCTACTGGTGGGGCTACGAAGCCACCAAGAACCAGCTCATGGACGCCCGCGCTGCCCGCAAGGGCCACGACCTCTCCTCTAGTCGCGGTTTGACCACCGATCGCCCCGCCCACATTCACGACACCGACTCTAGCATCCTCGTAGACAGCTTCATCGCCGGGGCTGTCTCTGGCGGCGTGGCCGCATTCGTCACAACGCCTTTCGACGTCGGCAAGACACGCCAACAGACCTATCGGCATGCTGGCGATGACGCTCCGTCTGTACAGGCGGCTAAAGAGGCGGCCAAGAAGGGCAAAGTCGTGCCCGAGTTGCTCTCGATGCCGCGGTTCCTTTACCACATCTTCACTGAGGAAGGTGCCGCAGGGCTCTTCAAGGGCTGGATCCCACGCACGCTGAAGGTCGCACCTGCTTGTGCGATTATGATATCTACCTATGAGATTGGAAAGCGTTGGGCTAAAGCTACAAACGCGAAGAAGATTAGCGATAAGGACAAGCTCGAGGCGGTATGAACAGCGGAGCTGTGAATCAGCAGAGCCCCACTGAGCTGGCGTGTACTACAACATTTTTGGAGTGATCTGGCATCGCATTTGCGGAGGGAGAGATTCTGCAGGACGCAGGAAGCTTGCCGAATTCAATACTATGGCAGGAGGCGGCGGGTGGTGGCTTCTGTTGAACTTTGCACATAGCACAGGCGTCATGTTTTGCATAAGTCCTGGCTTGAAGGCATATCATTTGCATCTTGTTATACTACAGTCGTTGCGCTGGCTCGCGCATTATCATGTACGAGTGACTTGCGACAGTAACCCACTGATCCGACTCCCACAATCGGCCTAAGTGTCATTGTGGTAAGTGAACAACCGCTTGGGTACACCAGTTGGGTGGCCAATGGGGTTGGCCCGTTGGGTCGGCCCAACTGACCCGTTGGTCTGATAGAAGTCCGCTTTGGGAAGGAGGCATGCCTAGTACAGAATGAAGGTCTGCAGGTGCTGCCAGCTCTCAGAAGCGACTTGAACTAAAGCATAGCTGACCCCGCACGTCTAGTGGTACACACCTCGACCAGAGGGGCGGAGAAGAGTACAGGCCATGCCACGGATCCGGACAGCAGTATGTAAGAGGATAAATGTACGACTTTTGGGCTTATGTACTCCGGAGCGCTTTGGGATCGTGACGCTCGCGTCAATTAAGATCATGCCCACTATGCAACGACAGCCAGCTTGCTCCTCACCGGAACGTTGTGATCCTGTCCCGGCTGCGGGAACCCACTGACCTTGCACTCCGGCCTGAAGATCAAACAATGGGTCGAGCCACCGAAGTGGAACATACCCGTCTGCTCCCCCTTCTTGACGTGCTGACCTTCCTTGACCGTGATCTCGCAGGTTGAGACCTCGTCCATGCCAATGCCGATGAACGCCATCAGCCCGATCTTCGGGTTGTCTGCCTCGATGAAGATGATAGCTCTGGTCGCAAGGTGCGACAGGTAGCCTTGGCCGGAAGAGATGCCGTGAGTATCGATCTCCTTGGTGTTCGGATCGCCAAGCCCTTCAAAGAGTGGCTCGGAGAAGTACGTTCCGTCAACGACGTAGGCTTTCTTGATTGTGCCGCTGACGGGTGCGTGCCAGCGGTGGTATGACAGCGCAGAGAGGAAGGCTTGATAGACTGTGCCATCGGCAAATTGCTTCGCTAGCGAATCCTGTGCGAGCATGTCCTGAATAGAGTATGGCTGGCCTTTGATGTAGAAACGATCGCGCAGTTTTGTGTTCGGTCTCACGGCGAAAGTGCGGCTTTCGCAGCAGTTGGTGATCACGTTGTCGTCGTCGGGGCTCGCGATCGGGCGGACTTCCTCCTTGAACTTGCGGGTGAAGAAATTGTCCCATGATGTGTACCCGTAATGCGGCTTAGACGTGTCGCACTCGAAGAAGTCGTCGAATTTGTGGTTCGTCTTGAGTGGGGCGTTGGCGACTGCCATCATATCGTTCTGTCCGTGTTCACCAAGCCAGCCGGTGCGATTCGTGTGAAGGACTTTAGCAGAGTCAGGCTCGAGCAAGAACTTGCCCCACTCGTTCAGGACTTTCTTGAGCATCTTGTTGACGCCAGGGTCGAGGAAAGCGGCGTGGCCTGAGGGTGTTGACATCGGGTAGTCGAGGATGGCGCACATGGGAACGCCGACCATGCCAACTTGTTGCGCGGCATCGGTCCAGACAGGTGCTGAGCCGAAGACGTGGTTGAGGACTACAAGCATCTGGTCGAAGTTGCGAATCTGCCTATGACCAGTAGGGTCTTTCTTGTAGACATGCTTGTATGGCACCTCTTCGAACATGGCGCTGAACAACATCCACAGGCGGGTGTCATTCTCGACGAACTCTGAATGCTCGTCAGCTCAGAAGTCAACCGTTGCTTCATGACCAACCTTTGAACTCTTGTAAGACCGGCCGAAGTGGTTTTTGCTTCTTGTGAGCTTCATCGATCTGGTGGCCGAGCCATGCTTTGTGCGTGCGGTGATCTGCTGGCAGCCACGCTCCAGTCCTATGATCTCAAGTCTCAGTGCCGGCTCAAGTGTCATCTAGAGACACTTACTTGTGTACCACCAAATGGGTGGGAATTTCATGATTCTCGCCGTGCTGTTGCACGCCTGCCTCGCTTTTGGGTGGCATTGTCAAGGTCGGAGATTTGGGATCAGAGTCTCGAGGTCAGTACAACAAGAAGAACGAGAAGTTGAATCAAGAAAGATTCGAGCTGAAGACACGGGTTTTCCATGCAAGTGCTTTCACACCGCACGTCTGTTTACGTGTGCAACCACATCACCTTGCCTTCCCGCTCCTTCCTGACATCACTTTTCAGGGACGCGCAGTCACTACCCGCAGCTTCCTGCAAGCTTTTTCAACCAATCCTACCTTGAACGTGCCTGAGTCCAAGCTGCTGACGAAGATCCTGGTCCGCCACCCATGGGGAAAATGAAGGATGGAAAAGGGAAATGATGGGTGAGTTCATCAGTGATATCCGAAAATCTAAGAGGTGCTTCTTGAGTCTTTCGCAGTTGATATATGCTGCCCTTGGCGCCCAGCGTCTTTGGTGCAACGAGTCGTACTTCTCAACCCCAGATATGGACTTCCTTCTCCTTATCATCATGTAAGCGCCTAGCTGAGGTACTACGCAAGAAGCTACAGCGACGTCTTTCCCTGCATTTCCTGCCCAAGCGTCGCGGCGTTGAAGCCTTTCTGGCTACTTGCTACCCCTCCATCTTTCCCGGACTAGACTCACGTCTACGCGTTGCTGCCTCATATGTGCCATGCATCAACATTGCTGCTCTATCGCAAGCGAAGTGTTTGTTGCTGCTTGAGGCTTCCACTTCATGCACCTGCCAATCCCTGTCGTATTTCCTCCCGGTAGACTAGCCGTTCGGTATCCCGCTGAATTCCTACGAAACTACCCCGCCATCAAGGCGAATACACTTTCTTGAAAAGTCGATCCCGAAACGTCATGCCATCCAGTTCTTCGATAATGACATCGTTTTGGGAATACCTCCTCGGCGCATTGCTGTTTAGCGTTGATCTGGCACGTAAGTGCACGCTGTGAGTGGTCAAGCGACGCATTTGGCCTCGACATGATCTCAAATCGGTGCTGCGCTACGCACCGCTTGGTGCGATACTGCGACGATCTGGGACAACTGACATGAATTTGCTGCACACTCTCCTCGGACGTGCGCAGAACGAGTGATATAGATCAACATCCGGGTCCCTTGCAGTCTTCTGAACGTTCAACCTACAGCGCATTGACTACTGACTCTCACAAGTACAGCCAAATCGCAAAGTACCCGTAGCACAGTTTTCGAAACAACCAACAGACCGATTCAACATGCCGACCGGGTCCTGCTTCTGCGAGAAGGTGAAGATCGAGTACAGTGGCGAGCCGGCCATGACTGTGAGTTTCCTCACTCTGGTGTAAATATCGACGCCTCACAATCGGCGGTGCACTGCATACGGTACTAACTTATAATTCCAGGCTCTCTGCCACTGCGCAGACTGCCGCAAGATCTCTGGTGGACTCTACTCACACAACATCGTCGTGCCCGTGTCAGCATTCAACATCACCTCCGGCAAATCCACCCTGAAGGAGATTAGCAAGACTGCTGACTCAGGCAAGTCAATCACCTCAGCCTTCTGCACCGACTGCGGCACCACCGTGTTCCGCTACGGCGACTCCTTCGGCGGGCCTGACGGAATGCGCATCATCAAGGCGGGCGTGCTGGACGATGTGGATGTATTGAACAACACGAAGCCTGGGGCCGAGTTGTATGCGAGTGAGAGGATCAGCTGGGTGCAGAAGGTTGGCGGCAGTGAGGACAAGAAGGGTATGGAGTAAAGTGAGAGCAAGGGAAGGGTGATGTTGGTATAGCACAGCGAAACCGAACCCGATGCAAGGCGTGTAGCGTTCAACGACGCGGCGCCAGGTACCTGCCTGCTAAGCCTGCCAGAGGTAGACAGTAGGAAAAGCAAACAGACCATTAGCAGCACCCAGAATCGAACTAGGATCTTCCATCCACGAGGGCCAACACTCTTGACAAGTGTTGTAGGGGGGTTTGCCTTGCGGCGTGGCACTGAGGCCGAAAAATACCCTCGTGCGATGTGCTCGCCGTTGCACCATGCCGCTGGAAAGGTCAATGGTCTCGCGTGTAGTTGATGGACGAAATCTTACGAGTCCAAGTACATGAACCCTCAGACTGACTTCACGCCAGTCTCGACCAAAGTGAAGCAAAAGCTACTACGAGAAGCGGACTCAAAAGCTTAAGGAAGTTCGGGAGCTGGGTCCTTGTACCGGGCCTTTGCCTAGGAGGAACTCACAGCATGGGTCCCAATCAAAGGACATCACAGCTCTGTACAATGGACAGCTTAGACTAGATTCTTCAGAAGACGAAGGTAACGACAACCCATCGACCACTGTCTGAACCCCATTTCCATCTCCCCTCGACTCACCACCTCACTTCAGAAACTCTCCCCTCGTATTGGCCAACACTTCATCGTAATACCCCCTGCAAATGTCAGACAAATCTCCAGCACAAATTTGAGCCGCAAACAATACTTACTGAAAAGCCAACCACCCCTTTTCCTCCGTGCCAACCTGCGCATACGAAAACTCCGCCTCCTCATCCGTAATCAACGTCCTCTTAACCCTCCCCCCAGCCTCCGCCGCCTCCACCATCAACTGCGCCTGACAAGTCTTATCCAAACTCATAAACCAAAACGCCGCACTATCCACACTCCCACCCACAGTCAACAACCCATGATTCTGCAATATCACCGCCTTCCCACCCCCCAGCGCCTTCGCAATCCTCCTCCCCTCCTCCCGATCCAACACCACCCCGCCAAATTATCATACACAGCATGATTCCTCCAAAACCTCAAACTATCCTGCGTCATCATACTCAACTCCTTCCCGAACACGCTCCACGCTTTCCCCGCCGTGGAGTGCGCGTGGCACGCGGCATGCACGTCCGGCCTCGCCTTGTGGATCTCACTATGAATAGCAAACGCGGCAGCGTTGATGGGTTCATCGCCTTCGACGACCTCGCCGTCTTCATTGACGAGGATGAGGTCGCTGACGCAGATCTGGGAGAAGTGTTGCGAGAGCGGGTTGAGCCAGAAGTGGTCGGTGAGGATCGGGTCGCGGACGGAGATGTGGCCGGCGACGCCTTCGTCGAAGCCGCGGGCTGCGAAGACGCGGAAGCCGCGGCGAGGTGTTGTTTGCGGTAGAGGCGGTGTTGTTCGGGGGTGAGGTTGGTGGGGCTTGGGATGTGTAAGTTGAGTCTGGAATTGGGTGTTCTCTCGGGGTTTGGGGAGGGGGATGAGTCCAGGGCTTGCCTGGAAGGAGGCCAGCACTAGTTGCGCTCTCTTTTGCGACTGAAAAGTCGCCTCTGCCGTGGACGATTGATCCATGGGCAGACATGAATGGATGATAGACGGGCACTTACTAGGAACGAATCTTCAATTGCTTGCCAGACTTGGTCTTGCCAAGTGCAGCCACGGTTCGGTTCTCCTTGGACGAATCATCGTAGACGTCGATTGACGGTGCCATTGTTGTTCAGTGCAGCGTCCTTTGCTGTTAAATTGCGTCCTCTGAAGTCTCGTACGCCGTCAAATTTATACTGTACGATCGGGAAGTAGAGACAATCCCGCTGAGTCAGGGCAGTGGGTTCGTCGCGGTGATTGAGCGCCTGAGTGTAAGCAGTGCTCACCGTCTCGGATGCTGTATGTCCAGATTGTTGGAAGAGCAATGGAAGAGGCAAATCCGAACGTCTACATATTGGTGAGAATGGACCCTGTGGGGTAGTAAGTCCGCGGGGTGAGGGGGTTGGAGATGCATTCGCCTCGGCATCCTGCCGACGGCACGACAGCGACGAGGTGGTGAGCCAAATCACCCACGTTCTGGTTGGTGAGATCCTCGCTGCCGGAGTCTTTGATTCGGTGACTGACGTACCAGGGTTGTCCTTATGGCGTACCTGAGCACAGCAGCCAAGGCACGCTCCCATTCGTTCTGATCGAGTGACTGGGATTGGCGATCATGCCCAGAAGGGAAAACGAGACTCGATGCTCTTGGCTGTGGGCTTCAGCACCAATTGATGCATACGCGAATACGTGAATAGCCACCATGAGGTACCAAATCGATGCCTCTGATCTGATCTGCAACCCAGATCAGTGTGATCGAGGCAGATTTGACGTGCCTCGCTTCTGTGCCATGATGTTCCAGGAACAGGCCTGCTTCGTGTTCTGCATTTGAACGGAATACTTAAGGAGGCGCTCTCCTCGAGCGGCCTCCAGCAGCTCAATCCTTCCATAGCCAGCACTGGAGGACAACGTTAGCCCATTGAACACCAAACCGAGCACCATCACCATGACCTTCGGATCCAACAATCCATTCAGTCCTCCTGCCTACTCTACCACCACTCAACCACTCACCTACTCCCACGACATCAAACAGCCCGTCAGCAGCCACACCCACCTCTCCCCATATCCCGACCACGAATACTCCGAGACTATGCGCGCGCAATCCCCCATCCCACACGGCACGCCCCGCCGCCTCAGCAACGAGTCCTCCCCGGCTCAATCCCTTTATTCCGACAACGCCACCCTGGTGGACACGCCCACTAACTCCGCCATCAAAGTCCTCGACTGCTACCACACCAAGTCCCACATCAACATTCGCGTATACGACAAAACCAACCCCAACGACTGCCTGTATTACGTAGATAACTCCGCTTTCACCCCCTCGAGACCAGACGTCCTAATCTTCGCCGGCCCCGACAAGCAAGGCTACCCCATCATCGCCGCCGCGAAATGGTCCAGCATGTACAGCAAACACACCTCCGTCGCCATCGGCGACACCGGCCTCAAGGGCGAGAACCCCAACGTATCCTGGTTGACCGTCTCCTCGACATCAACCTGGAAGCAGAACGAACATCACTGGAGACTCCCCTCTGACCCCAAGGCGCGAGAGTATGCGTGGAAGCGCACGCACCATGAAGGCCTAGACAACACACACGACGGTGGGAATAAGTTGTCTGGATGTAGCTTCAAGCTTGTGGATGTGGCGAGTGGGGAGGTGCTGGCGACGTTTGCGAGTAATCGGTTCAAGAGCTGGAAGAAATTGGGTAAGTTCACGTTTCGGGCGGATCTGGGCGAGGAGTGGACGATGATGTGCCTGGTGACGTGTTTCGCGCTGGTCGAGAAGAGCAGGCGGAGGAGTCGGGCCAGGAGGAGTAATCCGGGTGCTTACGGCGGTGGGTAGAGAATTCATGTTGGCGTCGTCGTGTTCGGTATGAGGTCAGGATGCAAATGCCAGCCGCAAAGAGCCCCTAGCGTAGTCAGCCTCCTTCCGCCTCAATGTCGATTTCGTTTTCGCAATCTCGCCAGATCCGCAGAATACTCAATCGCTCCCAACCACCTTTGCCGCCGCTCTCGTTCACAATATCAGCCTGCCACGTCCAGTCATGTCCTGCTTGCCAAGCGCGGACCTTGTCCCGGACTTCCAGAGGCTTGTTGCGCGCACATAGCAGTACGTACGCCACGCCTCTTCGACTCAATACCTCAGGTAGTTGCGCAAGCAGTTTGTTCGTGATCTCCATTCCATCGTGGCCGCCTGCGTAAGAAAGTGCGAGCAGCTGGGATTCCCGTTCGTGCTTTGCCTGGGCAGCCGCGGCACGAGCTCGCTGTGCGATGTGGACTGGCACTGGCTGGTCTGTTTCTGTTGCTGCTAGTGGTATGGACTGATTGGTCGCTGGCCCCGAAGGCTGAGGAATAGCCGGCAGGTCCTCCGTAGGGACGTAAGGTGGGTTGAAGACCAGAATGTCCACATCGCCATCCTTGACAGCTGTCGTCAAGTCTCCATTTATGCTGGCAAGGTAGAAGCCCATCTCGTTCGCCTTGCCAGAAGCATCGTAGTTCCGCTCAACTGTCTCCCGCGTTCCCAGGCAGGCATCGATGTTCACGTCCACGCCAAGCGTGAGGATTTGTTGCCCGAAAATTGCACGAGCGTTGACTGTGAGGAACGCGGAGATTGTGCCGCTGCCAGGGCCGACTTCCAAAACCAAGGGAGCTGGTCCTCGTGCTACTGCAAATTTGTCACCTAACGTGGAAGTAGTGGTTGCTGGCGGGAAGCGTTTCCGCAGCCAGACCTGCTCGTGGTGAGTCTCAAATGTCTCGAGGACGAGGAAAGTATCCTCGGCGGGCTCGTAAATGGTAGAGAACGACAAATGTGAGGTTGATGGTAGCGGCAGTGCTTGTCGGGTCGCCATAGTGTTGTTCGGAAGCTTGATGGAGATGGTCGATGTCAAAGGGGAATTGTGGAATCAATCACTCTGCAATGCAAGGGCTGTGGCAGTAGTAGTACGTTGTCCATCATGATGACGCCTGTTCACCAGCGTTTCTGGCACAGATCAGTTGGATGTTGTCTCTCTGCGATCAATGTTGCCAGCGGTGCGACAAGTTCACCAGCAAAAGGTTTGTAGGAGAACACATTGTATTCAACACCTATGTAGGATGGCAGCAAACGCAATTATATTTCAGCTACGAGCGAGTCTTGGCACCAAGATGACGCCAAAGTCTTCAATAGCATTGGGAGAGCTTGAGATGATTTTGCAATTGTTTCATCATATATGAATTTGATATAGCTGCTCACCAGCTGCCGCACGAACAGAGCCCGTTGACCAAGTTCCAGCTCAGTAGTTGCTGTTGTCGTTGTCATATCCTCCAGCCTGGTCCCGCTTGGCAGCGCCCTTCTGCTCCAACTTCTCGTTGTTAAACATACCGCCTGCCTTCTGCATCAGCTTACCGACCGTGGAGTCCTTGCCTCCACTTCCGCTTCCACTGTTGTCGTTGTCGTAGCCTCGTCCGCTGCTGCCATAGTTGTCGCTGGAGGCGTTGTCGCCACCGATACCGCCTGATTCTTGTGCGCTGTTTGTGGGGAGGCAATGTCAGCGAAGTTTCACGCTTTGTGGCTTAAAAAGGACGATATGTTTTCATCGAGGGGTGAGAGGGAAGTGCTTACCCAGTGCGACCGGAGCCCATGCCGTAATTGTCTTGGCCGTAGGAGTCGCCTCCAGTCTTCGAAGCAGATCCGTAGGTGTCGTCGGCGCCTAGACCACCACTAGTGCGGTCAGATGTGTCACGGTCGCCTGAGCCGTAGGTGTTGTCGGACTTTCGTCAACGTCAGCAAATACCCGGAACGAAGACGGCTGGGATGCATACATCACCACGTCCACTGCTCCCATAGGTATCATCCGATGACCCAAAGCCACCGCTTGCTTGAGCGCCAGTTCGCCCGCTGCCCAAGCCCTGTTCGTTGTCATACTGCATTGCCCGTCAGTGCTTGTCACCAGATACTGTTCGGACAGGTCAACGTACACCAGAGCTTCGCCCTCCAGTAGCGCCACCACTGCCATACGTATCATCGCTCCCCAATCCACCACTAGTGCCACCACTCCCGTAGCTGTCATCAGCACCAACACCTCCGGTCTTGCGCGAAGAGCCGTATGTGTCATCAGCGCCCAGGCCGCCACCGGTATTAGAGGAGCCATATGAGTCGTTGTCACCGCGAGAGCCTAGGCCTGCGCCGCCGGTCTGGCCTGAAGAGCCGTAAGTGTCATCTGAACCGAGGCCACCGCCCGTGTTGGAGGAGCCGTAGTTGTCCGAGTCGCCGCGGCCGCTGCCGTAGCTGTCGCCTCCTGATCGCTTCGACAAAGTCAGTGGCCTGCTCCTAGCATGTATGCAATGGTCTTGGCAAGTATTGGCGAGGCTCTACTTACGTCGTTATCGTAAGACATCTCGATGAATGGAGTGTTCTGGTTTGTAGGTAGTATGCTGCACAGTCGAAAGTCTGGCGTATCTGTCACAGTGCTTGAGCATGCTTAGTGGCCCATCTCGGGCTCTTATACCTCTGTACACGGACAGGGTGAGCAACACGCGGCAAGGTGAGGGGTCACGCATGTGACGACACACTCAGCAAATCTCACGGCAGCAAACAGGAATGATTCGGGACTCTGCATGTCGCGGGACAGTAGCTCAAATTCAAGATTGCGGGAGAGGACAAGGTTAGCTGCAGGCTGATGCAGCCAACGCGTTGGTTTGGAAGCTGTTTGAATGATGGAATAACTCGTCATGTTCAGAGGTCTCCGGGTGGTACTGTGGTACCACTGCAAAAGCCTCAGAACTTTAATCATTGGACAATTTCTCGTTACGCGAGGACACGATAGGAGTGAGCATCGGTTAGACAGTAGCGACGAAATTGTATTCAAGCAGGATTGAGCCCGATGAAGCTGGAATGCGATTTGTCTCGATGTGATACTTTCAGGTGGACAGGGTACAAGAAATCAGGCACGCGATTTGCAGTGCAGCCAATCATTGCACGTGCTTCGCATCTGGCGTGCAGCTCGCTAACCTGGTTCTGCCGGCGATGAACCCAGACCGTGGCCGATGCAGTAGCTTTGATACGACGTTTCGTCTCTGATAGCTGCATCGCAATCGTGACAGATGACGTCTGCTGCAGAATAATCAGCACTTTCGCAGTAGACGCGAATGATGCAGCTGCCGGTACATGAGATGCTAGCTGAGGTCCTTTGGCGGGCCTGAAACACGGCAGCTGAGGTCCGAAGATCTAAAAGATGCGATCTTTCCGAGCGATTGCGGGCCACGGTTAAATAAGTGCCAACTCCGATTGCTCTAGCAATGCGTCTTTCCCTAGCATAGGATCGGCGCCGACCGTGAGAGTGGTACTCAACGCACAGGAACTGGGGAGATCGTGCTAGCAATATTCTCTTCTTTTGCAAGTGCAATGCTTCGTCCAAGACCGCCTCCTGTGATGGACCAGTGGTGCGAGGTCCAGCGAGGACTTCTGTACGGCCGATGATGAAATTGAATGCCTCCTGTAGGATGCCAGATGAACGTCGATGGAATGGGGTTCCCGTCGGAATTGAGAGGTGTCCTGTATATGCCGCTGAGTAGCCTCGACGTCTGCGGAAAGTGATGACTGTTCTGAAAAGGGAGTCCAGGACGTCGCGAGCCATGCACGACGTTCCCTGTGTTCGTGGCAGGCCAGATGAAGATAGCATCGACGTGGCAGTGTAGGTGTCGAGGTCGGCGGTTCAAGCATTCGGCATAAGGAAGTTGGCACCTTGAGTCTGCTCGTGGTTGCCGTTCTTTCTCGAGCTTCGCGTGAGTAAAGAGTAACCCAGGGGGCTCCTTCCAAAATTGTGCCTTCCTCAATACTGATCGGAAGGTGCGGTGCACCTCATTCTCACCATAAATTCGAGTCGAGACATGGCCAGAGTAAATTCCAATTAGGAAAGGGTGCAAGCACCCTAC